GACAAGGGCCGGAATGGCTGGCTCTCGAACTGTGCTGAGGGGGGTGTCACTGGTGTTTTAAGGCTAGAGATCAGGTTAGTGTGGACAGAAAGGTTACTGTGGAAGTCTGGAGAAATGGACTTCGAGAATAGGGTGATTCTCAGAAAACCTTGTCCAGAGCTTCAGAAAGAAGTCACGGGTGCTGCCTGTCTCACTGGGGCTGGAGGCCACCGCCTGTGGGGAGCCTGGTGGAGGGCTGTGTTGCTGGCCAGAGAGAGGCTGGTGGGCGACTCTGCGTCCTGCCAGGTGCCTGCCAGGTGCCAGCAGCGGGGGGACGCGGAGCCTCTCCCGAGAGGTGGGCATTCGGTAGGGCCACCGCTGCCTTCTCAGATGGGGAAGGAGAGGCTCCCCGGCGGCTGGGCTCGTGGGCGCCGGGGAGGAGCAGGAGGTCAGGCGGTCTGGCGGGAGAGAGGAGCCGCGGTGTGAGGAGCGCAGGGGAAGCAGAGAGAGGCCCCGCTGAGGTCGCTCGGTGCTCACGCTGACCCCGTTGTCTCCGGGCTCGCGGGGTCCTGTTCCTCCCTCCTCCTCCACAGGTCAGCGCCGCAGAAACCACAGTGACTGTCACAGCCGCGGGCCGGCAGCCGACTGAGAGCCTCCCACGCCGCTGTGGGGAGGCGGGTGGGGCAGCCACTCGGGAAGGTGGGTGCGCGCTTGGCTAAGACGCTGCCGGTGACTTTCCGTGTGACCCGGCCAAGGGCAGCGACAGCGCTGACCCGCACGCAGACTCCGGAGGAGTGATGCCAGCGGCGCGGCCCAGGCCTCCACGGGGCGGGGTGGGCAGGATGGGCAGGATGGCGGTGTGCGCTGCGCCGCTCTCCCGCAGAAACAGGGCCTGAGTGCGCGCGGGCCCTCGTCGCGGCGTGGACGCGCTCAGCGCGCTGGGGGAGGGTAGCCCGACGCCCCCGGCCCCCCAGCCGGAGACCGCAGGGCTGGCTTCCCGCGGTGGGGGTGGACGGGAAGCGGCTGCGAGCCCGCGCTCTGGACGCCCCCGGGGGGACGGGCCGCGGTGCGGGGAGAGCGCCCGGAACGCTGCCCCCTCGCAAGTCCCTTGCTGTCCTTAGCGGCCTGGAGGCGGACGGCCGCTGGGTTGGCTCCTCCGTGAAGCGTCTGCCTCCGCCTCGGGTCGTGAGCCCAGGGCCTGGCGTCCAGACCCGCCAGCGAGCGAGCCAGCGAGAGAGAGAGAATGGGCGCGTGCGTGAAGCGGGGGTGGGGGGGCGGTGTGAGGGGCAGGCGGACGCGTGGTGTGAGGCGCGGAGGGACGGTGTGGAGGCCGGCACGTCGCCCTCGCTCCTCGCATTTGGCCGCGGGAGGTTACAGCTGAGTGAGCCACACGTGCGGCCTCGTGCATCTCGGTGACAGACCGGCGGGTTCCCGCCGACGCTCTCGTAGCGTGCGCGTTTGCTCGGGCTTTTGCGTGCGAAACTGAACTTCCAAGTGATAGAGTTAAAGCCCGCGAGACCACTAAGGTGATGACGGAAACAGCAGCCCCGGCCCCCGAAGAAGGCCGCAACTCCCGGCAGAATCGGGTGGTGCGGCCGTTCCTCTGTCCCGCTTCTGCTGACCGCGTGCCGCCTGGACGTCCTTGCCTGCCCCGGGCGGGGACCGCGCTGCGCCTGCTGCACCGGGGACCCCGCGGCCCACAGGCGTGTCTCCTCCCCGCCGGCCTCCCGTCGCGCCCACGCTGGGAGCGCGGTGTCGGAGGCCTTGCCTGAGCGACTGGGGTTGCCCGTGGCCAGCGCTCTCTAGGCTGGGGATGGTTTTCCCTTGGAGTTCGGAAGGCTTCGCTCCGTGGCCGCTTAGCTCCGGGCCAGCCCTCGAGACAGCCGGGCTGTCCTGCGTCCCCGTCTGCGCCTCCGTGTCCCCCCCCCCCCCCCGGGGGCGTGGTCGTCCCTGCGCTGTTGGCCGGAGTCTCTCGAGTCGTGTTTGCCTCTCTCTGTTCTTGTGGGTTTATGGCTTTATTTCTTTACTCTTCTCTCGGTGGATTTCAGGCGCAAGTGGACATAATTGCCAAGTTTGCTGTATTTTGCTAGAAATTTGAATAAATTTTTGTGAAGATCTTTAAACAACAAATATTCCCGTTGTCGTTTTTCCAGAACGGTTAACTACGTAGAAAACCGGTGTGTGTGTTCGCTTCTGTGACAGTGTTTCCTTCCTCAGTATTTCCGAGCGTTTCGTCAAAACATCTCCGCCCCGCGGTTCCCCGCGTCTGGAGGCGGCGGTCGTGGTTCTGACGGAGGGAGGCCGAGAGCTCGCGCGTGCGGGCGGCGCTTCCGGTGCGGGAGACTCACGGCTCGGCTCGGCGCCGGGGGCTCCTGTTGCGGGCGAGAGCACGACTGGGCTGGAGGCCGCTGTCGGGTCGCGCCTGCCGTGCGTGGCGGGTACAGGCATTCAGTGCGGTGTGCCTGGCTGCGTGCTCTTTTGTCTCCTCACCTAGAACTTCGTTCATCTTTAACTTCTGTGAGGTCAACGTCAGTCCCATCCGTAGGGACGGAGTCACGACCCACTTTGTGTTCGTCAGCCGGTTGTCAGCGTCGCTGACCTTCGCTGGCAGCACTTTCACCGGTTCCGGAACCTGCGGATGCGCTTCAGCACACGTGGCTGATGTGTGACGGGACTTTAAAAAGTGTCGCTGCACCTTTATGGTCGCTGCGACAGTTAAAGGCGATTCCCTCCCGTGATGCGGAACGCGGTCCGTGTTCAGACTTCCCTGGCCAGTGGCGACTCCAGCTCCGCGTCCTTGGCGGCCGGCGCGTGCCCCTCACCGCTATCTCGGTGCCGCTCCGGTGTCCACGCAGCCACGCGCGTCGCTCCGGTCGCTCCTTGGCGGGGTCCTCTTCCTGCCGCGCTGGCCCCGTTGGCGGTGGGGGGGGGCGGCTGGCCGCCTCAGCGTCCGGAGGTGCGTGTCTGCGAGGACCCTGCTGGAGGGCTTGGCTCTTCGCGTTCCTCAGAGCAGATGGCGTCTCCCCCTCCCGCGTCTGACGGAGCCGGCCGTTGTGGCGGGCGTCCGCGGGCTCCGTGCGTCGAGTCGGCGTGATCGCGGCTCACTGAACGTTCCAGCGCCGTCCGAGGCCCTTTTCGGCATGTCCCGCATGTGGGAGATGCGAGTGACACCCCCCCTCTTCTGTGTTACCGGCTTCCGCTCCTCTGTGAGGAGGAACTTGCTCTTCGCTCTTTGGGTCCTTGAAATGAGGAAGGACGAGATTAAGGATTGATGTGTTTCCCGCTTTGTGAGTTGTCAGGGTCCTGACTTGCTCGAGGAACTTGCATGGCCGCCACAAGGGTTTTTTCCAGGGTCCTCACGAACTAAGGGCTGTTGCTGTGTTTGATGCGTCAGTGGCTCCGATGCTCACGCGGACCCATCAGCGTTCCCGGCGGGTTCTGACATGGGATGTCCCAGATGAGGGAGGAACTGCGGGAAGAGCTCCGGTGTTTTCCTCCTGGTGGGAAAACAGCAGCTGGAGAGGCGCAGGTGGGGGGTGGGGGGCCTCACTGGTGGATCGTCATCTTCGGGGCCTTTTCACTGAACAGAGCTGGAAACATGTTTTTTTAAAAGGAGAAAATAAATCATGAGTTTGTACCTATGATTCCAATTGAAATGGAGGGTTTTTTTGGTTTGTTTTTAAGTTAGCTACTCTGATTTTACACTTCTATTTCATTACTCTTAAAAGTCCTGGTTTCCGGGGTGCCTGGGTGGCTCAGTGGGTTAAGCCTCTGCCTTTGGCTCAGGTCATGGTCTCAGGGTCCTGAGATGGAGCCCCACATCGGGCTCTCTGCTCCGCAGGGATCCTGCTTCCTCCTCTCTCTCTGCCTGCCTCTCTGCCTATTTGTGATCTCTGTCTGTCAAATAAATAAAATCTTAAAAAAAAAAAAAAATCCTGGTTTCTAGCCACAGTAACACAAGTGCTTTTTGCCTTCCTTCCCTCATGTAGGGCAACTTCAGGCTGCACTCTCTGTGCTAATACCGGAACGTAGTTTTCTTTGTGATACTTTTTATCCTTTTTACGTGTCTTGCTAGGGAGATAACAGCCAAAATGTTATGGGAGTAGATACTGACTTTTCAGTTTGTCCTTTCATTGTTCTTTCTGGAGACAAAGCATATGTTATTCTTTATTTAATATATTTGTAATATATTTAAAAGCTTTTGGTAGTATTTTCAAGTAATATTTTAAAGATAGTAAAATTAAAATATGCATTTAATATATAATTTAAAACTTTATAATTGTTATACCATATGTGTGTTTTTACACTTTTTAAAATGCCTTTTCTTACTGAAATGGTAGGGTGCTGTGAACATTGTTTTGCACTGCGTTTTCTCAGAATGGTACATTCTGGAGATCATTCCTTACTGACATGCAGACATCTTCGTCCCTTTAGACAGCAGCGCCAGGGTCGGCTCTATGGGCCGCCGGGGCTCATGCAGCCGGGCCCACACTGACTCAGTCTCAAATCTGGTGTGGGACTTGGGTGTGATTGAAAACTTGAGGGTCTTGGAGTCTGTGTCTCTGATATACTTAAACGAGGACTCCAGGGTGATTGACAATTAGCATGAAGTGATTTTCACTCCAATAAGCACCCTGATTTAAACTAACCACTTTCGATGGCAATCTTTAAAATTTATTACAGACTTCTATACAGTTTAGGGATGTTTTCATTATTATATTTAATTCGGATTTTCTGTGTCTTCCCTGAATGTTGAGTATTGGTCAGTCTCACGTGCCCATTTCAGAAATGTGCAGTTCTTTCACGAATGTTTAATCTGCTTTTTTAGCACCTTGACTGATATACGGGAAATTGAGATTTAAAGTGAGCCTGGTATTAACATAAACGGTGTTTTCCTCTGTGTTTATTGCAACTGAGTAAACAGAGCATCCCTGTCTTTATCTGAGTTTTTACTGTTGCGATTTTTATAGTATGCAGTTAAGACTATTCCCCTATTAATAGTAATACTGTCTCTGACTCAGATGTTCTGCCTTACTCAATACGGGTCCTGTTGGAAGCTGCTGTGCGGAACTGTGATGGTTTTTTAATGAAAAAGGAAGATGTCATGAACATTTTAGACTGGAAAACCAAACAAAGTAATGTCGAAGTGCCCTTTTTTCCTGCCCGTGTTCTTCTTCAAGATTTTACGTGAGTGGTAGAGTGTTTCCTTCATAAAATTCAGACTCCCTGGTGGTTGGCTCCATTTGTAATTCTGAAGATTAGTCTATAAATTTAAAGAATTGTCCTGAGAAACAAACTGAGGGTTTTAGAGGGGAGGGGGTGGGGGCCGGGTGGGCCGGGTGGTGGGTATTAAGGAGGGCACGGATCGCTTGGAGCATTGGGTGTAATATGCGGACAGTGAATCTTGGAACACTGCATCAGAAACCAGTGACGCGCTGTACGCTTACTAATAGAACGTAACAACAACAGCCCTTTCTAAACTAAAGCAATTCAGTACAAGTGAGGTGCTTGTTTCTTGCACTTTATTGAAAACCTGTTTTTGCCGAACTCTGCCTGCTTGTTGTCTCCAGTGAGTGAGTGGGTTTCTCAGAGTTAGGCAGACCCTTACTGCGCAGCTGCTGTACTGTCCCTCTCCATGTCTCCCCCATCACAGGAGATGCCCGACTCCTCTCTTTCCCTCCTTCCTAATCCAGTCTGTCAGCAGGTGCTGTGGACTCTACCTCTGCGACGTGTCCTGAGCTCACAGACCTCTTAGAGTTTTCCGCCCCCGTCCCGGTGCTGGCCCCGGGCGCCCTCCCGGGACTACCGCTCAGCTGTTAGCGTCTCCAGCCAGTACCCTGCTTGCACTCTTATGGTCTGTGGTTGTCTTCATGGTAGATCATGTGACTTAATTAAAAATGTTAACCAGGGTCCTGTCATTTCCCTGTACGCCGGTGGACGTCCATCACGCTTAGAATAAAACCCAGAGTTAGCTAGATAAATAAGCCTCCCCCTCAGCCCCCCCAAATCTGGTTTGTACGCCACTGCGCTTTCTGGCTGCGCTGCTGTGAGAGCGCTTAAGATAGCATTCAGGGCCTCAGCTTGCCTGCACACTCCTGTGTGTCCGGCGGGGCTGCAGGTGCCTGGAGGCGGGTACATCCAGTCGTGAGCTCGGGGTCCTGAGAAGGCTGTGGGAGGGAGGAGGGATCTCATGAAGTTTAAGACAGGGAAAGAATTCCATAGACAGGTCTCTGGAAGTTTTCTTTTGCCTCTAAAAATCCTCTCTTGTGTTATTTGTGGTACTCAAGTTCTCAGTAGCATTGATGCTGATTCTCATGAAACCAGGATACACAAACTTTGGATAACAAGTGCGTGATCCAACACAAGTGCGAACTAGAAAGGGATACATTTAGATATAAAAGTGAATCAGTGTATATTAATTATTTGAGCAGATGAAAGTACCATTCAGTCCATAATTTTCATTATTTTTTATTTGTCAGTGGAATACCAGCAATGGTGGATTTTGCTGCTATGAGGGAGGCAGTAAAAATTCTTGGAGGTGACCCGAGAAAAGTTCACCCTGCCCGTCCGACGGATCTCACAGTTGACCATTCTTTACAGATCGACTTCAGTAAATGGTGAGTGAGCACAGATCTTTGTGGAGTCAGCTGTACGGGGCAGCCGGCAGCCAGCCCCCTGGTTAGGGGAAAGGGGTTAGAGCCAGTTTGCGCCTGAGTGAAGGCTGTTGCGGTCAGTGCACACTGATCTAGAAAAAGAGCCGGTGAAGTTTATGTAATGATGAGTTTGTTTAATAGAGCCTGAATTTAGAATGGTATTCATGTTTGTAGATTTCTGTTGCATTTTTGGTAAAAATGAGTGAGCCTAGAACCTGCTTTGTGGAGTGAATTCTTGTTCATTATGTTTTGTTTTTTAACCTACGTGTCTTCAAGAGAGAATCTGAAGATAGGAGGGAGCCATGAATGTCTTTTATCGGTGGTAAAAATCACAGTGCTTACTAAAACTCTGTTTTTCCACGTCTTCTATTTAAAAGGTCCCTGTGACCAAGCTCAGACTAGAGAAGACCTAATTCTCCTGTGATCTTTCGCACAGACCAAGACGATTGTCCCAGCCTGCGAGTGCTTTTGCCCTCCAGATTAGTTAGCCCTGTGGCTCTGTGCTGCTTTTAAGTTGTTACATGGGAAAAAACCCACTTGGGTGCTTGCTAAGCGTCATTTAAATTGTCATGGAAGTACATGAAAATTATTTTCTTAGGCATGTAGAATTGTGTTTTCATCTCCGTAAATTTAAGTCACCTATTTCTGGGTTTTTTTTTGTAATCTGAGACTTGCTTTTGAAACCTGAGTTAAATGCTACATTAACGTTTGAACAACATTTTCTTAGTTCCAGATAACATTGCCATGTGTGTGTTTTTTGAGAAGCTAACTTTGTGTCACTTTTAAATGGTCATATTCTGTTTCCTTTTCTGGAATGCTAGTGCAATACAGAATGCTCCGAATCCTGGAGGTGGCGACCTACAGAAAGCAGGAAAGCTCTCTCCGCTCCGAGCGCAGCCCAAGAAGCTTCCCTGTAGAGGCCAGACCACCTGCCGGGGACCGTGCGAGTCCGGAGAGCCGGGCCGAAACTCAGGAAGATTTTCTTCGCAGATTGAGAACACACCCATTCTCTGTCCTTTTCATTTGCAACCAGTGCCTGAGTATGGGATTTTTAAAAAATAACTGACTAGTGCTGGGTTATTTTTCAGTTACAGAGGTCCCACCTTTTCCCGTCCCCTCCTGGTTCCTCTGACGTAGGCTCCTCCCGTCCCCAACCAGGCTGGCCGAGATGCTAGTGTCTGAATCCCACACCGATTTCTGTTCCGTAGGAAGAAATTTCTTCAGATTTTTCTATGATATATTTCATTTTTATGACTAACGTAGGCAGAAAAATGGGATCTTATCTTAAACTCTGAATTTTTTGTTTTAGTGAATCTGTACCATTCACATGTTCTTTATTCATTCACATTGCTATTATGAATTCCCTATTCATAGTTTTAGCTTTTTTCTCCTACTAGAATTCTTGTTTTTTCCAGTTGCATGGAGAGCTTGATGTTAAGAATATTATAACGGTAAAAAGCCTTTTACCATTGCCTGTATGGTGCTATGGGAAGCAGTGAACCTGCCCAGGAAAGAATTCTCTTCTTGGGAGTTGGTAAAATTTGCCAATAGGTAGTTTAAAAAAAAAAAAAATCTATACTTGAATTTTTGTATGCTATAAAGTTTCCAGACTCTGTTATTTTTAAGAATTACGTTGTTTACCCCGCTGTCCGTAGACTGGCAGAATTTTTTTTAAATTTAGTAAGAAAATGACCTACTTCTTCAAATTAAAAAAATGTAACACATGTGAGATTTAGGATAGCTAAGAATAATACCCATGCACATCTTATCCTGAGAGCCCGTGATATATTAATTCATGTGTCTGTAAACTGGTTCTTTCAGATTCTCTGGGGTTGTACAGCTGGGGGCTTGGTATTTCTGGGAGGCCTCCGGTCGTAGTGACCTCATACGCTCTTCTTTTCTGGGAACTCAGTGTAATGTGTGGGTTCCTCAGCATCAGATGAGGACAGTTTTATGTAAGCAGCCCTTGTTCTTGTGCCTAGCTGTCCCGTTGTTAGGTGCGTGTGGACGTTTGAGATGAGCATCCCTTCTTACACAGAAACTAACTTCCTGAAAAGGTCTTACCGATTCAAACACCCTTGAGGTGTTTTTTGGTTGCCTTCTCATGACCGGCAGGGTGTGAAGTGCGAAGATGGTGTATTTTTTTTTTTTTTTTTTTAGATTTTATTTATTTATTTGAAACAGAGAGAGAGAGATCACAAGTATGCAGAGAGGCAGGCATAGAGAAAGAGGAGAAAGCAGGCTCCCCGCTGAGCAGAAAGCCCGATGCGGGCCTCGATCCCAGGACCCTGAGATCATGACCTGAGCCGAAGGCAGAGGCTCAACCCACTGAGCCACCCAGGCACCCAAGATGGTGTATTTTTAATTAAAAATACAATCTGGTATAACATTTCCCCTCAGTTTTGACTCCAGATTCCAAAGAATTTGGATGGGTTGACCTGTGGTCTCTGGCTGTAGGGAGACATTGGGTTTCTGTGGTGCCACAGGGCCTTGGTGCAGCATTGGGTATAGACCCAGACGAGGAATGGATGGGGAGGAAGTGGGCACCAGAGATCATTGCTGAGTTTAAAGTCGGGTTCTGAGCTTGTGAATGAGGGACACTTCGTTGTGGTACAGGCTGCGGGATGTACAGTAATCGGACCAGCTCCCAGAGTCCTTGGGAAAATCTCAGTCGAGATGTGATGGGGCCTCAGGGGATCACTGAGCTGTGAATCAGTCATGTAATCTTTGCGTTTTTAAAAAAAGTTGACGAGTGAACATCTGTAATGGTCTGGACCCTGGAGGACAGGTGCAATTTAAGTTGTATTGATATCCTATCAACACTTGACCACCAGCTGGAAGGAAACAGCTTAAAACTGCTAGAAATAATTCTTTATTTTCATTTTTATTTATTTTTAAAGATTTTATTTCTTTGAGATAGGGAACAACAGGGGGAGGGGCAGAGGGAGAAGCAGCCTCCCTGCTGAGCAGAGCCCCATGTGGGGCTCAGTCCCAGGACCCTGAGATCATGACCTGAGCCGAGGGCAGAAGCTTAACCCATTGAGCCTTGCAGGTGTCCCTAGAGATCATTTTTTAAATGTCCGTTAGATAAGAGTAGCTTCCTAAAAGTGGCATAGTTTACTGCTTGCTAGTGGGTTGTTTTTACCTCTTAGTTTAAATAATGCATGTAAAATGTTTACGACCCATGCAAAGTAAACTGCCACTTACACAACAAATAGAACTTTCCCTCTCAGGTGAGATGAACGGAGTTTTGCTCAGAGCTTTCTGCACGTGCGCAGTGAGGCCGTAACACCGCACACCAGGTGTGCAGGCGCTGACGCACTCACTGCTGCCCTCCTCCTCCTCCTCGCAGAGGGGCCCCGAGGACGGCTGCTGTGTTACTGAGGGTTGCAGTCGGCTCGCACAGCAACGCAGGGCAGTACGGTTTGGGGGCCGGGGAAGGCAGAGCCCTGGAAGTAGCTGCCATGTGTGCTGCTAAGAGCAGAGCTTCCTTGTTGGAAGGAAACCACCGATGCTGAGAAGTCTAGTAAACTGCTGTTCTGAGAATTTTTAAGACGCGTTTGTGTGCCTAAGAACAAATACTTAGAAACAAGACAAGCCTTTTCTGTGATCCATATGTTTAATGCCGGATCTTCTTCCTTTTAGACCTGAAACAGTGTTAAAAAACCAAGAAGTAGAATTTGGCAGAAATCGGGAGAGACTTCAATTTTTCAAGGTACACGTGATTTGGGGGGAATTTTTATATTTTTATATTTTTTGTATTTTATATTGAAATTCACAGAATATTGATGTGTGATATTTATGTCCTTTAAGTTAATGGGTTTTTTTTTTTAAGATTTTATTTGATTTATTTGACAGAGCGAGCAAAAGCAGGGAGAGAGAGAGAGAAGGAGAAGCAGACTCCCCACTGAGTAGTGAACCTGATGTGGGGCTCGATCCCAGGAGCTTGGGATCGTGACCAGAGCTGAAGGCAGACGCTTAACGACTGAGCCACCCAGGCGCCCCTAAATGAGTAGTTTTTAAATGCTTTGTGGGAGTAGGACCTTTTCTTCCTTCAGATAAAATCTCGGAAACCCCAGTATATAAAACAGAATGAAAGCAGGTGGCTATAGTTTGAGGTGTGGGGAGGCTTTGTGCTTGTCCCCCACTCCGTCTGAGAGTCCTTGGGGCACGGTTGAAAACCACCGTTTATCTGGACTAGTCGAACATTTCCCTTTGACTTAATTTAGCTTTAATCTGCACGATGAGTGTATGTAGGGTCAGCGTCTGCGTTTGTCTTCATGTGTCTACTGTAAACTTGGACCATATTGAACGTTGGTAAAATGTTTTTAGTGTCAGTATTTACTCATATATTGACTGTGAGCACAAATTGAGACACTAACACTTGTATTTTTTAAATTTAAACACGATATAGTGGAGTTCAAGAGTTTTTAAGAACGTGGCTGTGATCCCTCCTGGAACTGGAATGGCCCATCAGGTCAACTTAGAGTATTTGTCGAGAGTGGTGTTTGAGGAAGACGACCTCCTCTTCCCAGACAGCGTGGTCGGCACAGATTCTCATATAACCATGGTGAACGGCTTGGGGATTCTGGGCTGGGGTAAGTAATCCACTCAGTACGTTTAATTCGCGGGGGAGATGGTGTCAGGAACAGTGTGCAGGAGCGTAGGTAGCCGGTCTTTACAGGCTCTTTGAGGCCGTTTCCTCACCTGCAATAGCGGTGACAGAACGACTCTGGACCCGAGGATGTGTGGACAGTGTGCCCTGCGCAGCACTGCCGTCGCGGAGTGGCCGCGGTGGACGATGTGGTAACTCCCTGGTCCGAGTCCCGCGGGGCTTCTCCTGGCCTTCCTGAGGACTCCAGATCCTTACAGCTACTGCCTCTGGCCGCTCCCACGCACGCCTAGTGGGATGTGCGTTCCTGCCTCCTGGCCCGGCCCGGGCTGTTCCCTCGGGCAGAATGTGCTGGGTCTCTTACACAGCGTCCAGAATGCTGACTTCTTTGGTCTCCGTCGTCAGACGGAGCTTCCTGAGGTTCGCAGATGCTGGGTTCTGTTCTGTGTGTGGAGCAGAGGCCAGACGCCAGATGCTGGTCCGGAGACCAGCATCACAGATGCCACATGTTCCCTGCCTTTAATAGAACGTTGACACCAGTTTGCTTCAGCCCTGTGAGTGGAGTCTTTCTTTTGGGGAGACTGGGTACACGACCACAGTCCAGAGTCCCAGAGGCTCTGAAGGGCTGCGTGAGGCAGGCAGGCACCCAGGGCGTCCGAGAGCAGACGTTACAGCGAGAACACCCGCACTCTTCCGCATGCTGCGCTCACCGTCTTCTGTATCACTGCAGGGGTCGGAGGCATTGAGACCGAAGCGGTCATGCTGGGTCTGCCCGTTTCTCTTACTCTGCCGGAGGTGGTTGGGTGCGAGTTGATCGGCTCATCAAACCCTTTCGTCACGTCCATAGATGTCGTGCTTGGCATCACAAAGGTAATTGCGCCAACCGTGTGACGTGGCGGACATTACGTGTGGGGCCCTGCGAGGGCAGGGTTGGGCTCTGTGCTGCCTCCTCCATGCTCTGGCCGTTGTGGCCCTGGCCTCATAGTGATCGTCATAGGAGCAGCCGCAAACACAGAACCCTTCCTTGGCGCTACTAAGAACAGAAATGCCGGCTGTGCCTCTTTCATTCCTCGCTACAAGCCTGGAAGGGTGCTACTGTGGCCGTCCCCATTTCAGTTCTGAGAAAACAGAGACACCCTCAGGTTGAATGACTTGGCAGAGGGTCACCGGGCTGAGCCATGAGTGCTGGAACAGGACGCATCCGGGCTCCCAGCCATCAGGCTTGTTGGCCGCGTGGGTTAGAGAATCCTGTTGAGGAGAAGTAATTGCATCTCTCTAATACCTAACCGAATCATTTGCCCTTTAGAAACTATTTCTCTCCTGGAGAACACGGACTGTAGAAGTGTGCCACTGTCGAGACTGCCCGTTGACTGTTTTAACACTTCTAAAGGATAATAGAAAAACTTAACCTGAACTTTTAAAATATTGGTACATGCTGTTTAACACATGTACTTGGAGTTTCCTAGTGAACAGTAATTCGTAAGTCTCCATTCTAAATTTCTGGTTTTCAGTTACTTTAATGATTAAGTCAATTTTATTAAATAAACGAGTGTGGGAGCTGTCCCACATACAGCGCCAGCTTGGATCCTGGAGTCTGCACTTTTCTGGTTAGGTTATTGGTCTGAAGGCTTTCAGGATTCTCCGCAGGGAAAGAAAGGGTCCAGCTGCCCTGCAGACATTTCGCACAGAGCCTTCTGCCCTGAGAACGTGGTGGCACCGTGCAGAAGTCATGGGTGCAGTGTATGGGACTGAAAGATAAGTTAAGTTGACAATTGCAGGATTATTCCTAAAGGAAAATGAGTATCTCAGAATGCTTTTGGAGAAATCTGTACCTTCCTTTGGGTAACTTGAGAAGTAATGCCACTTTTTAGACTTCTCTGGCTATGTTTTTTTGTAACAAGATTACATGTCAAGTTTTTTTTTTTTTTTTTTAAGATTTTATTTATTTATTTGACAGGGATCACAAGTAGGCAGAGAGGCAGGCAGAGGGAGAGGAGGGAAGCAGGCTCCCCGCGGAGCAGAGAGCCCGATGTGGGGCTCGATCCCAGGACCCTGGGATCATGACCTGAGCCCAAGGCAGAGGCTTAACCCACTGAGCCACCCAGGCACCCCTACAAGTCTATTTTTAAATTTTGGTGTGTTGATATAGAACTTAAGTCTATCACGTATGTTCACATTTATTGTTTTCTTTCCTGAGATTCTGTTCTATTCACGATCCTTACAGGATTAATCCCATATTATTTTTCTGAATGCGTATTGTGGCACCTCCTGAATTTGTTGAAACAGTCTTTCGCTGAGTGTGTCTCATGTGCCCTGCTCTGGTCCTCAGAGCGACAACCATGAACATAGAGAAACCTCTTAGCCTTTTATACAAGCGCGGCTTAAATGGCCCCTCACCCCTCTGCACTGTCAGGGCTGAATGGGACTCTTGGGTTGAACGTGGCTTCGCTCCAGGTTACCTCGCTAGGTATCTCCTGCCCCAGGCTGAGCCGTGTGTCATTAGGCGAGCCGCTGTTGGGGTTACTCGGTAATGACTCAGAAACGTGACTTTACGAGGACGTGTGAGAGCCTGTCAACATGAAGTTTACCCAGAACGAATGATGCTGTAAACACTTGGAGCAGGGTTGGAATTCGAAGAATTTTTGTAGCCAGTATGTATTTTATTTAAATGCAGTTTCATCAGCCTGTTAGTGTTCTTTATATCTAAGGGGCCATCAGCGGTTAGTGCTGTTCCACGCCCAGAAAGAGGAAGGGCTGCCCGCTGACACACACATTGTTGTGTCTGACGTCTCCTCGATTTCAGAGACATTCGCGTGTGGATCTAGCCATTTCCAGCCCTTAGGCGCTTTGTCCCCTGCCCAGCGGTGACAGTGGGTCAGTCTTCTGTGGATCGTTTATCTTAAAATACCTGCAAACCCAGAGGGAGTTGACGTTTGATAAGAACAAGAGACGCTCTTTTATGCAGTGTCACTGGTAGGGGTTAAAAACTAGGTCTTGTGCTTTTCCGAGAATCCACGCCAGTCTTACTAACTTTGTGTGCGTTTCTGTGTTTCCCTTTATTTAGCACCTCAGGCAAGTAGGAGTGGCTGGAAAGTTTGTTGAGTTTTTTGGAAGTGGAGTTTCGCAGTTATCTATAGTGGATCGGACCACAATAGCAAACATGTGTCCAGAATATGGTGCTATCCTCAGCTTTTTCCCTGTTGACAATGTGACATTAAGACATTTAGAACACACAGGTAAGAAGATGAAAGATCAGTAGAGTAAATGTGTTTGCACGTGCAGTGTGTCTGTTTGAAATTTTTCCTAATAAACAACTACCCATGCGTGGTATTTAATATTCAGGAAATTACCTTATCTTGAAATAGTGGCTTTCAAATAAACTGCCTCAGATTTCTTTAAAGAGTGTTGTGCCCTCAAAACCCTGCCCCTCCCGTGTGACCCATCAAGAGGGAGGAGTCCCGCCCCCAGTCAGGGCCTCCCTTCTTGCAGGGAGGACGGCTGTCGCAGCCTTTGCAGCAGAGGGAGCTGCGGGTTGGCCGGAGGCGGGCGAGTGCATCCTCACGTGCTCACGGCGTCCCTGTAACGGGAGCAGAGGAGCCATCAGACAGAAGTGTCTGGGGACCGTGCTCTGTCTGAAGAGTAACACAGTTTTGCGAAAAGTGGCGTAGGGTTCCAGGGTCCATATCTTTTTTGTAGCCTGGTGGGCAGGAGGTTGGACCTTCCTGTAATGACGGCTCAGTGTAGAAAGTAGCCGCAAGCCCCAGACGCGCTCCTGTACCCCTCGCACTGCCCGCTTCCCTTTGGCGAGCGACTAGTCTCAGAGCCGAGCTGGGCCGAGCTGCTAGTCTCTGATTGTAAGTGCATTTGGGGGATGGAGTCCAGTAGTCTTCATTTGGGGGCAGGTTTTATTAGTTAAAGGGTCATATGGCAAAATGGACCGTTGGTCACTGGGAATGTTGGTAGGAACAGTTCTCAAGTGCGGAGCTTCCTTTCAAGGGGATTTGGTTGGTTGAACATTGAGGGAGAGATGGCAGAGGTGCCTCCCCCCTTGCATGTCACTCTGGCTTGTGTATTAGTGACCTCTCCCTGTGACAGACTTCCCTGAAACTTCATGGCTTACAACAGCAGTGACCACCTGTGGCTGCATGGTGTCCGCGGCCTCAACCGTGAGACCTGGCGCTAGGCCACAGCGTCCTGTAGGTCGCTCACCCGTCGGTGGATGCTTAGCTGGGACTGGCCGCCACGTCTGCATGTGTCCTTTCTTACTCAGTGGCTTCTCCAGGGCGGGGTGACCTGGGAGAGCCAGCGCCAGCCCGACGGCCAGGGGTCCGATAGCTGAGGTCCACGGGGCCGCTTCTGCCCCTTGACAGAGGGATGTCATTGTCACACTGTAAGCACATACAGCTCGGGTGTATACCGTTAGGTCATTTGCTGGAGAATACCATCTCCCACCTCTGTGTATTCCCGTGAGGCTTGCAGAGAGCAGCTGCCCGTTGCTAACATCTAGGTTCTTTACCCTCCTGGAAGGTCTCGTTAGGCCTCTGATTTTCTGCTCATGAGACTTCTTAAGCTTCATTCATGTTCTCGTTTTGACTTTTATATTCACATTGGAAAGTAATGAGTGTCCTTCGTGGTGGGTGATAATTATATTCAACGTTAGTGATTTATGTTCTGCGAACTATAGGTTTCTTGAATTTTATGGAACTGACTCAGTATTTCTCAACTTGACTCTGATTAACTTTTAAAGGGGGGCTACAAGTTTTCATGACGGGCAGAATTTTTACTGCTCTGGAGAGTAATATCAGCGATTTGTAAAGAACATATTCTGAATACTTAGTGCGCAGTGTCTGTTTCTTACTCATTGGAATTCGGCACCCTTACCCTCACAGAGTTCAAAATTTCTTACAGTATTTTTGTCCTTGTTAATTCTTTCTAGGTTTTGACAAGGCCAAACTCGAGTCGATGGAAACATACCTTAAAGCTGTGAAACTGTTTCGACATGACCAGGATAGTTCAGGAGAACCCGCGTACTCCCAGGTGTGTGTGAAAGAGCTCCCTCGTGGCCCGGCCACCTGGGCGTGGACGCCAGCTCGGGCCTGCATCTCCGCCGACGCCCCGCCGCGACCTCCTCCCCCGTTTGCTCAGCTCTGAAGTGGGAGGCTGTTCTGAAGGGCGGACATACGTTAGATGCAAGGCATTAGAGTGGTTTTGGGCACGCAGAAAGTGCTCAGTGAATGTCATTATCATCTAACCAGTTAGTGTTACGTGTGACTCTGCTGAGGTTTTATTAATTCAGTTCTCGTAGATTTCTGTTAGTGAATTTTACAACATTTTATTGTCTCAGTTTTTAATATTCAAAACACAAAGTTGACTCTTACTCTCTCCCTGATCTTTTTCTGCTTTGTGATAAGAGCACCGGGATGTGCCTGTCTGTTCTGGGGGCACCTGCATCTGGTTAGCGTCTGCGTGTCGCAGAGATGTGTCGTAAAAGGAAATTACGGTTATGTAAGATACTCTGTGATCTAGGCCAGTATTTACCTGTTGTAAATTTGTATTGGAGTAAGTAAAGTTCACTTTCAGGGAAGTTTGAATTTTCGTGATCTTCCTTTTCTAGGAGTGTGTCAAGTATCTCCAGCCACTGGGTATTGTCAAAGGTCTGGTTAACTGTTAGCTGTTTTCTTGGGGGGAGTCATTCTCTGCCCCAGCTGTCTGTCCTCACAGTGTGCGTCCCTGCCTGAACTGTATTTCTGGGCTCACTTGCCTCTCCTCCCTCCAGGAAGGCAAGGAGGATCCCGGGGGAGGAGCTGGTTGTGGTCTGTAGCTTCTGCCCCTGGAGCCGTGCCCGGCCCGCAGCACACAGGACGGGCAGACAAGCGAGGCCGCACGGGTATAGTGCAGACCAGTGTAGCGCCCGCAGGACCGGAGTCCGTGTAGCCTTCGGGCACATCTCTAACTTGACTCATCGTTTTCTGGTCCCTCCCAGCTCTTTATTTTAGTGCTTTGTCCACTTTGTAAAGATGGGGAAAGAAGAAAAATGAAAACTCTCACATTGTATAATAAGAAGGAATAAATCTGCTTATTAAAGGCCTGACCAGATTAAAGAAGTAAAACTGGAACCTACCAGGACGTTGATTCCAAGACACACTTGTTAAGATGCAAAGACAGGGCTTGACGGATCCGTAAAGTGAAGCGGCAGCCTGGGGGGCATCGCAGCCAGGGCCGGAGTCGACAGGACTGAACCATGGGGAAGCCTGTGGTGGGGAGAAACTTCATCTGAACTGTTTATACCCACATAAAACGGACCGAGGAAAATGGTGGAAATGCCCGAAGAAATGCACAGAAACCTAGCTGGGAGGTTGGATTTTAAGATGGTTTTTTTAAAACCAAGGAATAAAAAGCCCAGGCCTTGCTGGACACTGGCCAGCTAGACACATTGGAACCAGGAAGAGAAGGGTCCTTCTGCTGTGTCCCTCCAGCACCCTGTGTAGCCAGACTTAGAGCCACACACGCGGAAGAAGGAGCAGGGTTTCCTGAACCCACCTTAGTTGTCACAGACGAGGGAGGGGTGACTTTGGAGCACAGGGGCAGTAGACGGACAGCTGTCACAGGCATCTGCTTTATCAGCAGGCATCTGTGACAACAGAGAGAAGAAATCAGGGGAACAAAATGCTCTGTAGACTGTATGGCTGGTGTTCGGGCAGTTTGCATGCTGATCTGCTCCTCTCAAATTGGCGAATGTTTGTATGTTTTGTTTCACAGATTAATTGAGATTGTTTCAAAGTCTGTTTCCGGGGGTGTAGATCACCGTTACAACAAGTGTGGGTGTATTTATTCTGCTTCAGGACGTAGTGCCAGATTACAGTCTGTACCTAACAAATTCTCATTGTCTTCTCTGCCTTCTCATTTCCTAGGTGATCCGGATTTGTCTGAATTCAGTAGTTGCATCTGTCAGTGGTCCGAAGAGACCTCAGGATAGAGTTGCTGTGACGGACATGAAACGTGATTTCCAAGCTTGCTTGAATGAAAAGGCAGGTTACTGCACCACCACCTTTGTCAGTAATTACTGTGTGGAGTGATAGAAGACCAAGTACTTCTTGTGCTGGGGGGCAGATGGCGAGTACTTTTTGTGCCGAGGGACAGAGGGCGAGTACTTCTTGTGCTGAGTGATAAGGGGCAAGTAATTCTTGTGCCAGGTGGCAGAGGGGCAGTACTTCTTGTGCTGAGTGGCGGAGGCCAGCACGGGCCTAGACTCAGGCTGCTGCTGTGTTCTCGCATGTGGGGCGCACCCCATCAGCCCCCGCACCCCTTCCTGTCTGAAGCCGGGCAGTCGTTTGGCGCTGTCCCCAGGCCGCTGGGAGGGTCAGATGTGCGTCATGCCTGGAGTCACAGTCGCCCAGTTTCAGGCGCTTGGTCGCTGCACATGGTCGCAGCTCTCTGGCGTGGTTGCGGAGGGGTCTGCTAGGCTGCCCTGTGGTCAACGTCTGACCGCCCTCCCCCCCACCCCGATGAAGAGCGAGCTCTGCCCTCACGCCCATACGGCTGCTGAATGTACCTGAACAACGCGCGGCCTCTTTGACTTTCAGGGTCTGTGCTTTCCGAGAATCAGGGCTAAGATTGGAACACTTGCTCTCTTGAAAACTGGGATCTGCGCTCTTTCCAGAGCCTGTCTCTGGAGTTTGTTTGCTGTTGCTGCTGCCGTCCTGTTGTGCAGGAGTGAAGCAGCGTGATGAGCGCAGCGCTCCCGGCTCGCTCCCTGCCCCCTGCCTTCCGCACCCAGTCCCCTCCCCGCCCCCAGAGCAGGGCCAGGATTGTGCCCTCTGTTGAGTCTCGATCCATAGGATCGAACAGACAGCCGCAGAGTCCGTAAGATCTGGGTCCTGGGGAGTTCGGAACACCAGCAGGCTTGTGTCGCGACCTGGGGGGGAGGGCGGTTCCTGCGCCAGCCGACTTACAGTGACCGTGTGTCACGACCTTCAGCACCGCTCACGCGTAGGCAGAACTCCCGAGTCTGTTTCTCTGCACGTACCCAGAATGTCCGTATTTGTGTGCGTGTTTGTGTAGGTGGGATTTAAAGGCTTCCAGATTGCAGCGGAGAAGCAGAAGGATAACGTCTCTATTCGTTACGAAGGAAGTGAGTACACCCTGTCTCACGGCTCTGTGGTCATGGCCGCGGTCACCAGCTGCACCAACAACTGTAACCCGTCCGTCATGCTCGCCGCAGGTAGGCTGTCCCTTGCGGCCGTTCCTTCCCCGTCCTGAGTGACTTTGTATGCGCCTGCCACACTCCCCTTATTTCTTGGCTCGTGCGTGGAGAGTGGGGTCTGTGCTTGATATTGAGAGACATGCTGAGAGTTTAATTGGGTCTCAAGGAGCCGAGTTTGATTGACGTTACTTGTTTTCATTCCACAGAAGGTAAATATTTCAGTTTACGCATCCGTCCGTTTTAGGTTATCTGCTTCCGTAAATCGAGAAGTAGTTACTTAGCAGCCCTCTTGATGGCTGAGCCCAGCAGTGCACTAGAGCCCACCGAGAACACAAGGACAGAAGGGTTGAGACAGGGCTGTGTTGTGCGGACGTGACACCGTCCATCGTATAAGGTCCCGTGTGCCGTGTGGAATTGCCGTTAGGATGGTGCTGGAAGGGTAGTGACACGCACTGTGCGTGTGCGGACTAGCAACACGGCCCCGTTCGCTATGGCGCGAGGCCGTGACGGCAGGCTGCGCCGACTTCTCAATGTAAAGGCTAGTGTGTCAGTGTAATCCTGTGTGTGTTTTAAATGAAACACATCCGCAGAGTAAAATGGACAAAATAGTGAGTGTGAAGTGACGCGTTTGGGCTTCATCCCTTGCACGCGTTGGAGACTGAGCTCCCAGCGCCACCCTAACACATCCCTGTTGACCACGCAGGTCTCCTGGCTAAGAAAGCCGTGGACGCCGGCCTGCAGGTTAAACCGTATATAAGGACGAGTCTGTCTCCAGGCAGCGGGATGGTCACACATTACCTCAGCTCCAGTGGCGTGTTACCGTACCTCAGTAAGCTCGGGTAAGTGGGGGTGCTGCTGTGGTGCGCGCTGGGACTCAGCGGTGATGGAAGCTCCCGTCGGAGGCTTTCCCGCACAAGGAGAAGGCAGGAAAAGTTGGCTTTGTTGTACTCGTCGCCTCTCCATGGCCACGCGGCCTGAGGCCTCAGCCCTCCCCAGCTGCAGCCGTTGGCTGGGCGGATCCGAGGAGCAGGGCAGCGTGTTGGTCCTGGGAGGTCGAGGGGTGGCCTCCCGTGTACGGATGCACAGACAGATGTGACGACAGATGCACAGAGGAGAGGCTCCGGGCAGTGGTGATTCCGGAGTTGTGGAGGCCAGTCGCCAGCAGGATCAAAATGTGACAGGCTGTGCCATTAACGGATTAGAGTGTCTTAATCGACACTGTGAGGTTACCGGGTTTGTCAAACATGGGTTCAGTTGACCCCAAACTTTGTAGAAACGGACTTTCCCATTTTTCACGGACTCAGAAGAAATAGCAGATGCGGGCTGCGCATCCTGGAACCTGTTCACCTTGGCTCCGTTGCAAGCCTGATGACTTACAGAACCTGTTCTTGCCTTTAGCAGAGTGGCTGCAAGTAATTTTGAGAGTCATGCCTGTAATTTCTTAGTTCTGCTGTCTGGGGACTCCTGTCCGGGGCTTCCTCTGGGGTTTTGCTGGTCGGGAACGGAGAGGTCTGCTCGCATTGGCAGCCCCAGCCGCAGGCCCCCTCTGAGGCCTTGGTGCCACTGTCACTGTCGCGTTAAACCCTGGGGGAAGCACCGTGTCCATAAAGGTCGTCTTGGCTGTGTTTGGGGAGCTGTCCTGTGCCGCCTGCAGGTTTTGTGTGTCGGGTTTAGGCGACCACGCCCCCCTCAGCGATGCCCTGTCAGAGTTCTTGTGCTGAGTCCCGACGACACCCCTGATGCCCAGCCAGGCAGACCGATGGGGGTTAACCCGCGCGTCCCGTGCGCGCTCAGGCAGCTCGTCCCAGGGATGGCAGCGAAAGACCAGGCCGGCCCTTCCCTGACAAGCATTACGACGTTCTGCTCGATCACACGTGTTTTTCCAAATGCAGATTCGAAATTGTTGGCTACGGATGCTCAACGTGTGTGGGGAACACAGCGCCCTTGTCGGAAGCAGTTCTCAGTGCAGTCAAGCAGGTAAAGACGTGCGCGTCTGCAGGATGTCTAAACGGATTTTCTTAACCGTGTATTCTGTTGCTAAATGTGGGCACATTCATATTTCTGTAGTCCTTGCTCCTCTTGGGAAGAGTAGATCTTAAAACGATTGGAAGAATCATTTTTAGATCCTTGAAATAATCCCTGAATAAGATAGTGAACTAATTTGTTCACGGGGTTTGGTGGTTCTGTGTCTAATAACCGGTGGTCTGCTTTTCCGCTATCTTGCCCTCAGGTGTGGGATATCTGAGGCTGCGTGTATATGATTATCCAAATTCGTACCGTTTCTTGAATGTATATTTGTGTTTTGTTTTTTTTTTTTTTTCAGGGTGATTTGGTTACTTGTGGAGTTTTATCCGGAAACAAGAATTTTGAAGGTCGTCTCTGTGATTGTGTTCGTGCCAATTACCTTGCCTCCCCACCCTTGGTGGTGGCTTACGCCATAGCGGGCACGGTGGACATAGACTTCCAGACGGAGCCTTTAGGTATCTTTCTGTCCTTACACAGGCAAACCTACATATGCTCTGCACTCCAGAACTTGTTGTATTTCTGAAATGCTTCTTAGACCGTCTATTCTTTGAATTATTTCAGGAAACCTTATCCTTTAGTTATTCATCTCTGGATTCATATGAAGAATATAGATGTACAAGGGCTTTGTTTTTTTAGCTGCTTATGCCTGCCGCAGTCTGGTGTTGGTTTACTTGGTTTCTGGGACAGGTTTTTGAAAAGATGTGAATACCTTCAGGGAATTTTTTTTTTTTTTTTTTTTTTAAGATTTTATTTATCTGGGGGAGAGAGCACCAGTAGGGCCAGAGGCAGGGGGACAAGCAGACTCCCCATTGAGCGGGGAGCCCAATGCAGGGCTCCATCCCAGGACTGCACGATCATGATCTGAGCCGAAGGCAGAGGCTTAATGCACTGAGCCACCCAGGGGCCCCTGGAAGGAATTACTTTTTATACTAACTTTGATGTCACAATGTTCTCTCCAGGCACTGACGCTACTGGCAAGAGTGTTTACCTGCAGGACATCTGGCCCACCAGAGAGGAGGTCCAGCAGACGGAGGAAGAGCGCGTTACACCGTCCATGTTTAAAGCACTGAAAGAGAAAATGGAGGTAAGTGGCTCACTTGTTTCTGAGGTACTTTAATAAAGGGCACTGTTGATCTCTTGTGTCTTTCTGAACTTAATAAAAATTAAAATCACATTATTTTGATACAGTGTATAATAAATGATAATCATGTTGTATTTGGGATCTGTAATAATCTAGGAGACTAGCTTAGAGTATTTAAAACCAATCTTAGGAGCACCTGGGTGGTTCAGCTGGTAAAACGTCTGCCTTCAGCTCAGGTCATGATCCTCGGGGTCCTGGGATCGAGTCCCGCATCAGGCTCTCTGCTTGGTGGGAATCTGCTTCTCCCGCTGCCCCTCCCCCTGCTTGTGCTCTCTCGCTCACTCCTTCGCTCAGATACAATCTTTAGGGGGAAAAAATGACCTTGATGACTTACTAGAAATATGTAGCAAGTATCCTGAATGCGGGCAGAATTCATAGAAATAGCCCTTGTTTGTTATTCCCATTGAGATGGTTGAAAGTCCAGAAGTAAGAGCGAGCATGGTGTGACCCTCCTGCCCCTGTCTCCCTGCCTTACCTCCCCAGAGGCCATCAGGCACGTCCCTTGCTCACGAATCTTTCCAGAGAGGTTTCTGTGCACCTATGAGCAAATACATTTATTCGCAGTTTCTGAAACAAAACTGAGAACATAGTATGAGGGTAGCAGAGGTGTTCACTGAGCAAGTGTTTGTTGAGCGCCTGCTACGTGTGGGGCGCTCTGCTCCATGTTTTGGGATATCTCCGTGAACAAAAACCAAACCCTGATGGGGAGAGGCGGGCAGTGAGCTGTAGACAGAATTGTGATGTAAATTACACAACACGCTGAGATGTGGTAGGTGCTGTGGAGAAGACAGAGCAGGTCGAGAGAGCCGATGACCACAGTCTGAGGAGGGAGATTTACGGAGGCTGTCGGAAGCAGGATGTGCATTGAGCCCGGTTTTGCAGGAGGTAAAGAAGTTTCCGTACATCTGGACCAGAGCAGGGCTTTCCGGGCAGAGCGAACGTATGAGGGCCTCACGCAGGGACCCTTGATGAGGGCACCGGGGTGGCTGGCGCACGGGGAGTGGGGGCCGTGCCGGGAGCCAGTGTTGGGGAGACGTGGGGATTGACGTCCCAGAGGTGGTTTAGGCCGTGAGTACATGGAGTCCTGAAGGCAGGGACAGGGAGCCTCCTCGAGGCCGCACACCGAGGCGTGCTAGGCTCCGTCTCCACGTGGAGGGGGTGTTGGGGGAAGCCTGGGCAGGAAGGACGGGAGCAGGGGTGCCCAACCCGTGTGGTCGGTCGTGTGTGGGAGTCTTCGTCTCAGGGTCGTGAGTTTCAGCCCCATGCTGAGTGTGGAATCTATTTAAAATAAAATTTGAAAAATTAAATTCAGATAAAAGAAGGACACACAGAGTCGGGCCAGTTGGTTTGAGCCGTTCTGTGTGCGAGGTGGCTGTGGCGTGGACTGTGGGTCTTGGGGACGGTGTGGAGCCGGGGTGAGACTCGGCGTGGAGTGTGAGGGAGGACCGTGTGGGGGCGCACACACTGACCTCAGCAGACGGTTTTCTCTCAGCCCCGCTCCTGAAAGTGAGCAGTGCGGCCCACAGCACGACCTCTTTGTAGCCACGTGGGTTGCTCTTCTAAACCCTTGACCCTTTCGTTGGATTTTTAAAAGTCTTTTATGCTCAGTTTATATTAAAACTTAATCTCAGTATATTCATGAAAATCTAGTGTGCTGATTGGATGAGCAAATCTTGATTTATTTTGTCCCAACAATGTCCTAGTGTTCTAGAATGCGCTGTCTTCCTTTCCCAGTGAAGAAGGCCTGTTTCTGGGTCCTTCTAATGTGAGGACTTTTTAATTAATTCCCTTGAACATTTTCACAAGCCTCTTTTTTCTGACTCCATTTTATCTTTTCTTTTGTTCATCAAACCCACGTTCACAGATGGGAAACAAGCGTTGGAATTCCCTGGAGGCACCGGACTCAGTGCTATTTCCTTGGGACTTGAAGTCCACGTACATCAGATGTCCTTCATTTTTTGATAAGCTTGTAAGTGTGGTTTCCCTCTTTGATCTTTTCGAGGTTGTTAGGAACTAAAAAAACTTCAGGAAGGGTGAAAGCCTTTCACGGTTTCTACTTTGTAGACCAAAGAGCCAGGTGCCCTGCAGCCCATTGAAAACGCGCATGTCCTCCTGTTCCTGGGGGACGCGGTCACCACGGACCACATATCGCCTGCGGGGAGCATCGCCAGGAGCAGCGCCGCTGCCAAGTACTTGACGAACAGAGGGTAGGTGCACGGGGCCCCGGTCACGCTCCCTGCGCAGTAAACTGTTTGACCCTTGAGCAGCATGGATGTGAACGGCTTGGACCCCCCTACGCTCAGATTTGTTCTGATAAACACGATCTAGGGCTGTAAGTGTATTTTTTCTTCTTGGGACGTTCTCAGCATTTTCTTTCTCTGGCTGACTTGTCAGAATAGAGGAGGTCACGCGTAGGACACAGAACGGGTTAGCCGCCTGGAAGTTCTGGGGAAGCATTCTGGTCAGCACGAGGGTATTTGGTTCTGGGGGTCCGAAGTTCTACCCAGATTGTCGACGCTGTGCCGGGCTGGCACCGTAGCCTTCGGCTGTACGGGCTGCCGCCACAGGGGAGGTCTGGTCACTGCTGCATCTGCCGTACGCAGTGACTAGGGTACCCGTAGTACCTGCTTTTGCCTGTAACTTTAGAAATGGAAATTGCTGTTTTAAATTGAGCCCTTCATAGATCGGAAACAAGATTTTTCTTTTCTTTTTCAATGCAACTGTATTGAAAAGTTAGCTTTGTTTGACCTACCCAGTGAAGCCTGATGGCTCCTGCTGTCGTGGGAGGGCAGAATTTAAATGTGTGTTTTGTGGACTACAGCGTGCGTGTGAGACCAAGCTTGGTCTGTGTCCATCAGAAGACCATGAATTTCCGCCCATTGAGCCTAAAACTTAGAACATGATGTAAACATGATTGATGTGGGAGTTAGAACTCCAAACCTAGAAAGCTCTGACCTCGTGCCTGCGTGATTGGTAGTGTGGAGTTGCTCTGTTACAGAGCTGCGTGGACAGCAGAGACGGACTCGGGGGCCGTTTTCCAAGTGACCCCTTTCCACCGAGATCGCTCAGGGCCCAGAGGCGTGGTCGCACGTGTGACAGTGCCGCCAGGCTCTGCTCACGGTCGCATCAGTGCTATTGTGGAATTCATGTTTGAACTTTTTCTCTGGTTAACAGTAGTCTGGTATGAATTTAAAACCCTTTTTGGTAGAAGTTGCTAATAGCAATTCCTTGTCTTATAACTCGATGAGAATAAATCTGTCACACACGGGGCTTTTATTTGTAGTGGTGAGAAAGAAACTCTGGTCATGGTTTTCATCGTGGTCGTAACCGTGACCTAGCACCCACCAGAAACCGTCCCCGCGCTTCTCAGGCGGGTAACTGCCGTACGGGTTCTGACGTGTGAGGACGGATCTCTCAGTTCTCATCAGTCAGGATGTGTTTCGGGTCCTTAAAACCCCTCTTCAGGCTTGCCCTGAAGTAAGCCGCTTAAACATACAGGTTTAGAGAACTTACTGCCTTTGTGGAAAAGACCAAAGTAGAGACTGGTCAGCGTTGGTTCCTGATTGTCGCTTGTGCTCGCTTGTTGGGCCCTCAGAGGTCGCGTGTGTTGTGACCAGGCCAGCGGTGATGAGTACCCTCCCACCCAGGTTACGGTGTCAGCCGCCGTTCCTGGCGCTGGGACTCCTGTGGGCCAAGTCACCTCGCGCCGCGCTTTCATGGTCGTGCTGACTGAAAGAAATCGAAGGAGGGTCCTGGTGTTGCATAGGGTTTTGGTAAAAGCCAAGGGGCACAATGTGAATTTCTGGAAAGGGGTGGAAACTCTTCCCTTTATGCTGTTTCGACTGAGGAAAGGTTGCCTAGGGGCGCTCTGTCCTCAGACATCAGGGAAGCCTGTACAGACAACCAGTGCTTCTTGGAGGAATGATTGATCCCATTATTGATAGGCTGTCTGATGGGAAGAAATTCTGATTTTTTTTTTTTCCCCTATCTAGGTAGTATTTTTTGAGTTCGTAGGTTTTAGAGAAATATGTTCCCTGAGTTTGCTTCAGAATTGTCTCCTGGGGGTGATTCCAGGATAAACAGGAAGCTGGGCATTCACTGTTTTCTCCACGTTTGTATGTGTGTGGAATTTTCTGTTACAAAGAGAGTACTTTTGAGTGAGTTTTAGGGTCCAGTACCATGTGGAGGTTTTCCATGTGATGAAACGAGCTTCACGACTTCCTCGCAGCCTTACTCCTCGCGAGTTCAACTCCTACGGGGCCCGCAGAGGCAACGACGCCGTGATGACAAGAGGCACGTTCGCGAATATCAAGCTGTTCAATAAGTTCCTTGGGAAACCAGCTCCCAAAACAGTTCATTTCCCGTCGGGACAGACGGTAAGTCTGCGCACAGAGCGTTTGGGCAGTCGCTGCCTGGACCCGGGTTTGTGCTGAAGACGCTCCTGTTTGCTTTCACTCCACAGCTTGACGTGTTTGAGGCGGCCGAGCTGTACCAGAAGGAAGGCGTCCCCCTGATCATCTTGGCAGGGAAGAAATACGGTTCTGGAAATTCCAGGGACTGGGCTGCCAAAGGGCCGCGTCTGCTGGTAGTGATGCTTCAACTTTATCTTCTTAAAATTGATGTTTAAGTGTTTCCTTTTGTCAGGAACAGTCGGTCAGAGTTTATGTTGCTTGTTTGGATTTTTATGCTGAATTGGAACTCATATTGGTGGGTGTTTTGTTTAGGGGATCACGGATGATATTTTGTACTGATGCAGTTGCGTTCTAGTACTCCGGTTAGATTTGGTCCCACTTGAAGAAATCCGTACCGTGGAGGGAAAGGAGGCCCCAGTCTTAAATGGACCCTCTGGAATGCTGATTCCGCTGCCCACTGAGAGTTTTCCTTGCCCCTGTCCCCGCCCTTCACTTTCTCTTTTGGGGGTTCACGGACTCAGAGGTGGGCCGAGATGGAGGTAATGGTTCCTGGCCACCCGCTGGGAAGGCACATCTCGCACCTGCATCCTTGCTGGAGTGGGGGCAGGTGCTGCTGGGGAGGGTCGTCAGGACCCACGCTGTGTGCTCTCTGCCTGCGCTCGCTCAGGAGTGCTCGGACGGAGCGGGCGGTCAGCACCCCTCCAGGCTGTGGTGATCGGGCACACTCCGCGCTCCCTGAGTCTCTGGTCTCCCCCTAGAACTGAGTGCTCAGAGGACCTGCAGGAACAAGCCAGATTCTCTTGTCCTCTGAGGTAGCAATTATCTCCAGAATATTAATTACAGGTACAGCTTCCCTTTTTTCTCGAATTTTGTCTAAAACAGACAAGTAGGAGGCTTTGGTCCTAAGTCGTCTGTCTAGTTAGACATTGAAGCACTGCTGCAAGCTGGGGGTGTCGGCTGGGTTTTGTCTGTCGATGGGCCTTATGTGGTCGAGCGGACGGGAACCCTCCTGTCCCGACTGGGAGCGCCCCACGTGTCCGTGTCTGCACGAACTTCCCACGACGCAGACCTGCACTTTCTGCTCGTTTCCGATGATGCCCTCCCCCGCCGCCTCCCCTGTGCCTGGCACCCCCGCGGTCCAGGGCACCCGTTCTGTCCATTCACGTCGGGCCATGGCGCTCCCAGGGCCGAGGGCTGACTGCTGGGTGCTAACAGCGTGCCCCTCTCTTTCCGTACAGAGTGCGGATGCACACGCGGTACTTGAGCAGGTGCACGGTCTGTGTGGCATTAAAACGGCGGGGTGGGCAGCAGGGGATGTGGCTGGAGGAGAACGTCTGGGAAAGGCTCCGCAGGAGGACGTAGGGACAGTCGAGAAACGTGGGTCTGGAGCTTCTCTGGCTTGTTTTCTCCAGAGAACAAGGATCTGCTGATGCTCTGGTGTCACTCTCTACGTTCACTTGATGGTTTCTGTCGTTGGGTGTCTGCTCAGGGTCGCTTAGCTTCCCAATCTGTGCAGAACCCACGTCTCCTATTTCCTCCGCTGCTGCGGGACGCACCTCTCTGTCTGTGTTCCTGTGGCAGGGCAGGGGAGAGGGCTGCTACGCGTGTGTGGGTCTGCCAGGATCCCAGACCCTCCTGAGCCCTGTTGGAGCCAGGCTGCCACGCCCCATGGGGGGCTTTTACCCGGCTGGCGTTGCTGGCCTCAGCCCTGCAGGGCGCAGGGGCGGGTAGAAGCAGCTGGGGAGCTGCCTGAAAACACAGAGAAGTCATCCGTAGTACCCTGATACGGCACGGACCATATGCTCTTAGGTTAAGAAGTTTTATAGAAGGGGCCACAAGTAGAATTTTTTACCTTGAAAATGGTCCGAAAAGGCAACTTTGAAGAGCTGACTGGAAGAAATAAAATGCACATTTGTTACAGGGTGTGAAAGCTGTTTTGGCTGAAAGTTACGAAAAAATTCACAAAGATCATTTGATTGGAATTGGCATAGCGCCATTGCAGTTCCTTCCGGGAGAGAATGCAGATTCCTTGGGCCTCTCTGGCAGAGAAACGTTTTCTCTAGCATTTCCCGAAGAGCTGTCTCCTGGAGTTACGTTAACTATGAAGGTATCTCTCGGATTCTCGTCTGTGGGTGTGTCCCGTGTACTCAGCCGGGTGTAAACCGAGGAGAAAGGGTGCTCGTCAGCGGCACCCCTGCGCAAATTAGTGCACGTGCGCTGTGGCTTAATTCCCGTGAAGCCGTATTAATGCAGCTGGGAGCCTGAGGAAACGCAGAGCACGCTCGACACTCGGTCCCGGGAGCAAGACGACACGTGGGCTCCCTGCTCGCGCGGCCGCGGCCTTTCCCTGGCTGCCCGCTGCTTCCGGCCTGATGGGATTTGAATGCAGCCCGCACACGTTTGCAGGGGAGGCCTGGGAGGAGCGCAGGGTAGGGTAGCCGATGTCCACACACTGACCAGTTGGTACAAAGTGGACATGGGCACTGGGTGGAACTTCTCTACCTGGTCAGAGTCTGCCGCGCTTGGCTGAGTGTCGTAGGTGATGCGGGACTTGTCATTTAGAAATGGGGAGGAAGGGGCGTCCGGCTCTTGATCTCCACTCAGGTCGTGATCTCAGGGTCGTGAGCTCAAGCCCTGCGTTGGGCTCTGCGCTGGGGGTGGAGGCTGGTCGAGAGGTAGCGGTGCTTAGATATGGCGGGAGGAGGGCCTCGCAGAGTCTGGCAGGTGGTGGCATGGGGCTTGGAGACAGAGGCTCTGAACATGGGGGACTCGAGATGCTCCTGCTCACGTGAGATGTTTCTGTTTGTTTCAAGACGAGCACTGGGAAAGTATTCAGCGTGATTGCTTCGTTTGACAGTGACGTGGAGGTGGTGTTATACAAACACGGAGGACTATTAAACTTTGTGGCACGAAAATTCTCATAGTCTCTACTCCACACGGACACCCTTTCAGAACTGGTAACTGCGAGTAAAGCCTTTCGTGCTGGACCCGGGGCTCCCCGCCTGCCGCTGCAGACGGTCCCGTGCGCTCACCGATCTCACCACGGGTGTAAATGGTTATGAATCAACGTAGGGACTGAAATGAAATCTTTCTGATTTTAAATAATATACGAATGGTGCTATTAACCATGCTCAAATCAACGTGTGAGGTGTGCTGTGGGAGAGGCCTCTAAGTACGGGGGCATTTTATCAGACCATTTTGTAAATAAAGACAGAATTTGAACTTGTGTTGAAGATTCTTACATGAATAACCTTCCTGAAGTTGTTTAGTTTTGCACCTGTAAACTGTGTACTACTGTTTGTTGGTTTAAGACTAGCAGGTTGGAATCGAGAAGCCGGATCAGACTCTAAAATTGTGGCAGTTGGAATCTGATTTACAAATGGACTTTCAGACCTGAGCTGGACATGGTCAGCATTCACAGTTTATAATAGAAGCTGGGGTGATCCTAGTGGCCGTCTAACTGCGGGGGCTCAGCACTCCCCCAGACACAGTCCTTGTGTCCCGTTGGGCCCAGGTCTCTCCACACGTGGACACGGGGCTTGGATGTGTGAACACACATGTCCCATCGTGTTCAGTAATTAGCTCCCGTCAGCCTCAGTTGGTGTTCTGGCAGTGGGATTCGATCATTTTGCTCAATTGATGTGATAATGTTGCTTCCTATAACCTATTATTTTAGGTATCATTAACCAAAATTCCACTCTTTTCTAGTTGCTAAAGAGAACTGAATCATTAAATGCTACAATGATTTCCTCTAGACTTTTAAATCACCCACCCTAAATTATGTGGTTGCTGCTCAACTCGAAGCATTTTTTAAATGTTAGTTATTTCTTAATTATTTAAAATTGGTTTTCTGTCACTTTGAATCCTTATTTTACCTGGGATGCATGATTCTATTAATTACGGTTTTGTTTTAACCAAAGCTATCAGGATAAAACACTGAGATTGTTGCTGTCCGGAAAGCTACTTTCTCCACACACATGTCCGCTCACCGCAGCAAGTGTTCTGTCAACAAGATGTTTGGCAAATGTTAAGAAAAAGGTTGGGAAATTAATTCCAGAAGGTCCCATGCCTTTTTTTAAATTAAGAAATTAAACTTAGCAGCCAAAAGGTTAGTTACAGAAATTTTCGTCCATGTGGAGAGCTTCCTCTGACCCAGCCGGTCTGCGGCAGCTTGGCCAGCCCACGTCACACCGGAGGGAGGACTGTGCTGCTGGATCGTGGCCAGAACCGCCGGCGCCGGGGGTGTGGACCGCTGAGCGCTCCGCACAGAAGCGCACACATGGGCTCTGTCTTCTGGAAGTCGTCTGCAAGTCTGTGTTCAGACAATCACGTGGACTGGAGTCTGAGAACATGATTTCCCTTCTTTCAAATTGTTTGGACTCTTTTCTGTGGTACTTTCACGCTGTGTTTTTGATGTGTTGTTACGCCTGTGTATCTGTCCTGCATATGTTTAATTCACATGAAAACATGAATTAGAGGAGTCGCGAGTCGAATGGTAACATCCCTGTTGCATGCTTGGCAGAGGTGGTGGCTCCAGACCGTCTGCCTGGGGACACGTCTGTGTCATCCGTGGTTGTGGGTGTCGGTTCCAAACAGCCAGGCCAGGAGGCTGGGCCAGTGTGGCCCCTGTCCCTGGTCCAGCACCAGGACATGCCGGCCTCTGGCTCCTGCACAACGGAGACAGTGGAGCAGAGAGCTTGGCCACGGCTGGCGTCAGAGAAGGAGTCCGGGTGTGCGCCCTAGTGGGTGCCGTCCACTCCCGCCTCGGGCCGAGCGCTCTGTGTGCAGAGAGGTAACATCTCTGGCTTTCATTTCATTGACTGTCCGGGTCATTGGGTGTTGAAAAAGATGCACAGTACTGTGGAAAGGAAGTATGGTAGGCACACGAGTGAAGCAAGTGAGTTTTGCAGTTCAGGTGTAACCTCAGAGGTGTTACCACCGGTAGCATTCTTCTCATCTTAAGAAAATGATGCCGCCTGCTGCGGCTATGTCTGCTGCCTTCAGCATCGCTGTCCCTGCACAAGGAGACGACTGGGGCTTCCGTCCCCCTGTGGAGTTGCAGCATTACAGCTGAGAGTGTCCATGGCGACAGTAGTGGTCAGTTTCTGACTGCGGGGGCATCCCCATCGCCATGGCTGTTCACAGGAGGAGCGCATCCGCCTTCTTGGTGGCGGGTGACAGGAGGTGGAGATGCGATGGGACTGACAGTTGTATGTGGTGGTAGTAAAAGACACCTGTCTTTGCCTTTAGGTGTAGGAGAGGTGCTCAGATACTGGATGTTGACTTGGAGGAACAAAGGCGGGAGCAGGCGGACTTGGGCTTTTTCCCCTGAAGTGTGATAGTGCCGATGTTTCTATCAATTTTACAAATAATATATGACTGCGAAACCATGTATCTCAAGTAACTATAAATCATTGTCTATTATTTAAAGCCAACAAAACAGTGTAACAGTTTTAAGTTCAATAATGTTAAGTATTGTATAAAAATATATTGGAGGCAAAGTTCAGTTGATGACAATTGTGTATATGTTATTGATGCTGTAAATTATTTTTAATAAAGAAAATTGTATTATCACATATCTCTTGCTATAAAATACTTTGTGGTGGATTGAAAATAAAACACCGTAACTTAAAAAGAGATAGGACGGCATCCAGAAATTTCTCTTCAAGGACACTTATGCAAGTGTTGAGAGGTTAGTCATTCTCGACATGACTGCCAGAAAGAGCCGTGGTCATCCCTGTTCCCCTTGCTAGTCTGGGGCCAGTGGGAATGGAAACCAGGGTGATTGTGGGCCCTTCATCCCAGGTGGGGCAGTCCCGTTGGAAGGGTGAGCAAAGTCGAACTCCATGCAAGCGGTGTCCCAGCAGGTTCTCAGGTCCGTGGAATCCCATTTGACAGTTGAAAAGACTACTGTCTCACCCAAAGGAGGATCCCTGGTCCAGACACTAGCCAGCTGGGCTGTCTTTTCCTGAACATTCTTTAGATGGGGACGGACTTCTGAGCCAGGCATTCCTGTCCTTAGCTGCGTTTGGACGGTTAAATAGACTTCACGTCGTGCCGGAAATGTCACTTCTACAGTTACCTCCTTGTCGTGGTTCCCCCTCATTTGTGAGTCTGGAAGCACCCTGGTGCACCCACACATTGCATTCCGGTTCAGTGAGGGAGCTGGTCCTTCCACAGCTGCGCTGCACGTAACGTCCGTTCCACGGTCTCCGTGTGCGGGCGATGTACATTCCAGTCAGTCTCGGACTGAACTGGCCTCGTGCTGCCAGCTGTGTGTTACAGGAGGAAGTGGCTTTTTCTTGAGGAGGCAGGATGGAGACGCTGTGTTTTCCTGAGTCTCTTAACGTTGGGATCAGCTGCCGCCTCCTTCCACCGGCCGCTCGTTAGTTGGCCAGAGCTGGCAGTCGGGCCGGGGGCCTCCATTCTGGAGCGGTGTTGTGTGATCGAGCAGGAGCTGCCCTTTGTACCACACTTAACAGCAACCTGAGCGAGCAGTGAAAGTTTGCGAAAATTTGGTGTTCATGGGGGCACCTGGCTGGCTCAGTCAGAATAGGAGGCGCCTGGGTTGCAGGGTCGTGAGTTCACATCCCGCATTCAGGGTAGAGATTAATTAATCAACTTGAAGAAAATCTGCTATTCATAAACCAAGGCTGGTACAGTATTAAGAATTTTCTGAAGATTGCAGTTTCGTGTTCTGTGAAGTGTGTGTTCCGGAGGCTCATGCTGGCGGGGCCAGGAGAACACCGGCGTCTGGAAGTAGCATCCGTCCTGACGTGCGGCTCCAGCTCTCACTTGAGGCTAGTTTGGGGTTTTAGTTATGAAAGACGTGGGCCGCAGCCCATTTGTTTTGATCTGATGTGAGTTGTCTGATCCATTTTCCAAAACACCAGACTAAAAAAGCTTGTGTTTAGTGTGATTTTGAAATTGAAACAGCTCGTACACCTGTCCGGTCCCCACAGAATTTGCATGTATGGTGACAATGACGTTGTCACTGAGTTTTGAGCCTTCTAAGCCGCTGCAGGAGTTGCAGGAGCGAGCAGACGGGGCTCCCGTGTGGCAGGCGAGCTCACCGGCTCAGCTGCAAGGGGTCCGGCTCCTTTTCCTACAGGGGTGTGTCACTGAGCTCTGAGAGCCAGCTCTGTGTCCCAGGTGGCCAGGTGGGGACGGAAAACAACTCTTAACCCCACAGTGGTGTGATCTTTTTTACCAGATTGGTGCTTTTTTCATTAGGATATCCAGTATTGGCGTTTTGAGGAAAGACATAATTCAGCGTGTGCTACAAGCCTTAGAAAAGTTCATTCTCATGGACTCAGTCCTGTGACTGAGCAGTGTCTCATAAGGACATAATTAGAAAGCACAAAAGATGTATGTGTGAGGATATTATTGAAGACCGAGCTGAGCATTTCAAATGAAAGGCTGGCTCAGTCCTAGAAGCACGGTATTCCCCTGGGGAGGGGGGCTGTGGGTGGGGACAGGGTGCACGGGCTGTAGCCCCCTCACCTGTGCCTCCTTGTTTTCCTGCCTCTCCGGTCTCCAGCCCCTCTAAGTTCCAGCTTCACACCAGGGGTAGAGATTACTTAAAAATGAAAGGGCAGGTTACGGAACAGTCTGTGTGAAGAAGGCACTGTGGGCGGAAAGGGGTGCCATAGACCTCCTAACCCTGCCTCTTCATCTCAGCATTTCCAGGCTCCGTCTACGTCCCACCCGCTCTCAGCCAGAGAAGAGCAGGAAGCAGAGAAACCCACCCTGGAGGGAAGTCAGGAGCCCTACGGGCCACAGTAAGCTGAAGCCCTTAAGAGGCCAGTAGGAGTCAGATTTGGGTTGTGGGAAATGGGAATGAAATTTGCTCTTGACACCCTGAAGGGATTTCCAGACAAGAAAACCCCCAGGACCTGAAAATACAGCCCTGCTCCTCAGAGATGAGAGTCGAGAGAACTAAGCTGACTGGACCAGGAGGCCAGGTTGACAGGGGCTTGGGGAACCTCCAGGTGTCGGGGGTGGGGGTGATGTGGGGGGGGGGCGCGTGCTGTACCCGCGGCGGGGGAGGGGGTTCCTGTACCTGCAGGGGGAGGGGCTGCTGTACCCGCGACGGGGGGGGGGGGGGGGGCTTGTACCTGCGGGGGGGGGGGAATGCTGTACCCGCGGGGGGTCGTGTTCCTGCAGGGGGACGGAGGGGCCTCGACAGAACCACGGACACCGCGTCGTGGGTCAGCTCCGGCCCGCCGGGAAGTCCTGCCTGGCCCCCCGACCCCGGGGACCCCCGCCCGGCGCGCACCCGGCGGTCTCCTGCAGCGGAGGGCCCCCCGGCCGCCCTGGCGCCCCCGGCCCCCGGGTGCTGCTCGGCCCGCGGGCCTGGGAGCGAGGGGCCGCTCGGAGCCGCAGCCCAGGCCGAGCCGGGGGTGGGGTGGCCAGGTGCGGCGGGGGCGTGTGGGCCCAGCCTCTTCGGGCCTCGCGGGCGAAGGCGGCCCCGGGGACCAAGCTCCAGCGGCAGCGGGAGGTGCTGAACCCGGGGGAAGCCGCGGGCGGAGCCGCGGCGGGGACTGCACCCAGCTGCGGGTGCCCTTCTGGAGCGGGCGGGGCGGGTTCGCGAAGAGCCAATCAGAAACAAGAAGCGCAATTACGTGGAGATAGCGGATTCTGAGTGGAGGGACCACAGAGCGGGGCGGGGCGGGGCTGCGGAAAGCCAATCAGGAGCCGATCCTGCGGGCCGGGGCGGGTCGGCCGCGGCCCAGCCTCGCCCCCCAGTACTGTACGCTGATTGGCGGCGTGGGTTAGCGAGAGGCCAATCAGAAGTCGAGGTTCGCGGGCTCTAGCTGGCTGGGGCCGCGGCAGGACCGAGAGCCGCTGGAGAGCCGTGTCGCCTGGGCATCACGAGTCGCTGCGGGTGAGCCGGCAGGGGAGAGCGGGGACCGCCCCGACAGCACTGTGGGTGCACCGGGGGGCCTGTGGTGCGACTCTCCCGCAGTGGCCTGGGGACCGGGCGGAGGGGAGGCCGTGGGTGGGGACGGGGTCCGGGCCTCAGCCCCCTGACCCGTGCGCCCCGGCCCCCGACTCTCCCGTGGATACTGGGCGGAGGGGCGGCCGTGGGTTGGGACGCGGTCCCGGGGCTGCAGCCCCCTGACCCATGAGCCCCCACCTCCTTATTTTCCTGCCTCTGGGGTCCTGGAGCACCCCATTCCCCCCCCCACCCCGTGCTCCAGCAGGAGGACCTCCAGAGCCCCCAGCCGCCCACTGTGGGGCCCTGGGCTGGGCACAGGGGTCACCGATGTTCCCTGGGCATGACCCCTCTCTGCACCCGGCGAGGTCAGAGCAGGGGCATCTCGGGAGAAGGGCACTGTGCAGGGCGTCCTGAGTCGAGTCTAACCAGACTTTGTCCATTTGGCCCTGAGCGGGGAGAACCCAGAAGAACTAACTGCGTTTCCACCAGGCTATCTCCACACAGTGCAGGGTTGAAAGTCCAGACCCCTGGGTGTGGGACAAAGTGTGTGGTATTCACCGGCCGCGTGTGGGGTTGGAGAACGTCTGCTCCCTGGATGCTTTCTCAGTCGCTTGGTAAAGCCCTCCGGCCTCAAGTGTAGCCCGACCTCCTCCGGAATTTGGATTCTCTTCCTTGTCCCTCCACACACCGCAGACATCAGGGCACACACCACTGATGAACGTGTCTCTTTCCTTGTGCTCATTGACTTTGAGGAGCTGACGGTCAGTGCCGTTAGTGTCATCATTTGAGTCCTTGTGTACAAAGAAAGGCAATTTTCAGCTCGGAAAGAAAGAACCGTAGAAGCATAGGAAGTCAGAGCTGCCAGGGACTCTCAGGGTGGACCTGTCCAACCCCCACTTAGCAGAGATGTGACCAGTGCGCCCCTTCCTAGGCTCAGCCGTGCTGCTGGGATTAATGATGCTTTGTTTCTCGCAGCAGAGCGACTTTCTGCCCTCGGGGTTTTTTATTGTGGTAAAACACACTGGATCTGCTCAGCTCCTTTTTGTACCAGATCGTCTTTTGATGGCGAGAGCTGCCAACACTGCTTCCTCTCCTTCAGCGGTGCCAGCCCCGTTGGACGAAGGTCTGGGAACATTTTCTAGGCTGGAAGGGAGACAGCTAGGTTCTTTTTATCTTTAAGGGTTTGTAATTCATATCAAATTCAGAATTACTCTGACATCCTTAATGCTTTAGGAGTTGAAAAACTGTGAATCCAATTCATGTTGGGTTTAAACCTTTCAAGTATTTTGAACTTCAAGTATTCTTACTACTGGCCTTATATCAGTTTATAAATCTCCAGAAGGAATGTTAAAATTTTCTGTGAAGTATTAAAGTCCAAATACAGTGTGATAGGATATGTTGGTTCCCACAAGTTTCAGGTGCAAGGATTATGTTTTGAAACCCCATTCAGGCTTTGTCACAACATCTTAGTGAACAAGCCTAGAAAGCAAATACTCTGGTCAGAAAGTAAACATGGAAAGTGATTGGCAAGAACGCAGTGACTATGACAGGTGGTAGAAACTGGCCCGTGGCAGGAGCGGCTGGCTGCAGGCTTCCGGGGGGAGAGAAGTCACTTTGGAAAGAGGATCTATAGGAAGACAGGGAGGGGGTGGAGAATGGCATTTTAGGCTAGTATTCTTTTTTTTTTTTTTTTTTAAGATTTTATTTATTTGACCCGGAGAGAGAGTACAAGCAGGGGAGTGGTGGGCAGAAGGAGAAGCAGGCTCTGCTGAGCAAGGAGCCCGATTTGGGACTTGATCCCAGGACCCCAGGATCATGGCTTGAGCTGTGCACCCAGAAGTCCCTAGGCTAAAATTCTTGTCATCACTTGAGTCATCAGGCATAGACTTGGGGCTGTGGCGGGGAGGGTGTCCTATGGGAGAGCCCTAGTGTGCCTCTCTGAATTTTATCCCCGTCTCCTCACTGGAGTGAGGTGAGCTCTGGCTTTCATAGATCTGAAGTGATTAGACTTTCATGGGCATAGTGTGATCTGGGGAGCTCTGAGAAGGTCCTAAGACCCCACCCACCCTTAGCCCCTTGTCCTTGCCAGTCTCTCACAGGGACTTTTTTTTTTTTAAGTTTAAATTTACAAGGAGTAAGATCCACAGATCTTATCCTTAAGTTTCAAGTTTGGACAGATGTACGTATCTGTGTAAACCAGGCATCATTGAGATCTAGACATGGCCCTCCAGAGAGCCCTCCGGAAGCGACAGTTGTTCCAGTTTCTGTAGATGAAAGCTCGCTCTTCTTGAGATGCTTCTTGTATGATGCCATCTCTTGAACCGCCATCAGAATCATGCCCTGAAACACAGCCCACCCGCAGATGTTACTCGTTACCTACAGCTTAGTATGAAGGGGGCGTTGGAAGAAAGCTATTTTGGAAAAAGAGGGAAGTGAGGGTGCATGGAACTCAAACATTTGGTTCCTGAAGACTGTTCAGAAGCCCTTCCCTGTGGTATCTGTGTCACGTAGATGCTTTTGAGGGATGCCAAGTGTGTGCAGTTTTTTTTAAAAGGTATTATTTATTTATTAGACAGAGAGAGATCACAAGTAGGCATAGAGACAGGCAGAGAGAGAGGAGGAAGCAGGATCCCTGTGGAGCAGAGAGCCCGATGCGGGGCTTGATCCCTGGACCCTGAGATCGCGACCTGAGCTGAAGGCAGAGGCCTTAACCCACTGAGCCACCCAGGCGCCCCATAGTGTTTTTTTTTAAGTAAGCTCCATGCCCAATGTGGAGCTCAACATGGGGCTCCAGCTCACGACTGTGAGATCAAGATGTAAGCTGAGATCAAGAGTCAGACATGTAACTGACGGAGCCACTCAGGCACCCCTAGATTTTATTTTTAAGTAATCACTCTACCCAGCATGGGGATCAAACTTATAACCCTGAGATCAGGAGTCACATGCTGTACGCCCTGAGCCAGCTGGGCAGCCTTGTGGAACTGCCCATCATGTTTACTTCCAGCCCTTATTCTGCTTGGCTGTAGAAAAGTGATTCTTTGCAACGTAAAGGTCAACTGAGTTCAGTGTTAATTCATACACTTCAGGGGTGTGCTTAGTTCAGGGCTCTTTGGTGTTCTCAGTTTAGTACTTACTGCCTTGTGACTTGATGTTCTGAGCAGCTTCTGAGTGTCGGACTGGGAGGGTGTTTGTGACCGTGAGCTGACGTGCCTCGTGTCCCGGAGTGCCCTGGGGCATCTGCTTGTGTCCTCCAGGGCTCACACCGTGCCTCGCACACCAGCCCATGCTTCTGGATTGAAAGTGTGTATGGTGAGCTGGACGGTGAGGTTATGATTCAGCGGAACTGGTGGGCAGCAGAGTAAGATCCCTGGATCTGAACTTATGTTTTAGCCCCAAGCTGTCCCCTCTGTCAAAGGGACAATACCATAGGTCCGGGGTCTCCACATTGGGCATGGAGCTTACTTAAAAAAAAACACTATGGGGTGCCTGGGTGGCTCAGTGGGTTAAGGCCTCTGCCTTCAGCTCAGGTCGCGATCTCAGGGTCCAGGGATCAAGCCCCGCATCGGGCTCTCTGCTCCACAGGGATCCTGCTTCCTCCTCTCTCTCTGCCTGTCTCTATGCCTACTGTCTCAGCAAAGTGCTCCTCCTGTCGCGACCTCAGTCTCCCCGGGAAGACAGCTGCTGGGGGGAGTGGGCCAGGAATGGGACTAGGGCGTGCCAGGGGCTTTCCTACCTCCTGTTTGTGAGGTGAGTTTGAAAGTAATCTATGATGCAAGAATATTTATTCACCTGCCCAAACACCTCTTTCTTTATCCCATTTACGAATTTAATTTTTCAGCTTTATGAGTGAAAATTAATGAAATGTATAGAATCAGGAGCAAGCAGCATCATGATGGGTCTGTCTTAAGAAAAATCACTTAAGGCGTGCCTGGGTGGCTCAGTGGGTTAAAGCCTCTGCCTTCGGCTCAGGTCATGATCCCAGTGTCCTGGGATCGAGCCCCACATCGGGCTCTCTGCTCTGCGGGGAGCCTGCTTCCTCCTCTCTCTCTCTCTGCCTGCCTCTCTGCCTACTTGTGATCTCTGTCTGTCAAATAAATAAATAAAATCTTTAGAAAAAAAAAAGAAAAATCATTTAAGTAAATGTGTTCATTGTGTGTCCTCTTCCTAGTTGGTTTGTTTTCCCGAGACGTAATGTCACACGGAGACGATCAGCAATCCCAGGCTCTTGCCAAGCCTACTTTCAGTGACGTACAAGCCTCTGCATTAGTGCAATCGGTATTTGGGTTAAAAGTTTCCAAGATCCGGCCACTTCCCAGCTATGATGACCAAAACTTTCATGTGTGCATTTCGAGTGCCAAAGACACCGCAGATGAGCCAACGGAGTACGTCCTTAAGATAAGCAACACCGAGTCGAGCAGGAGCCCAGAGCTGATTGAAGTGCAGAGCCACGTCAGCATGTTCCTGAGAGCTGCCGGCTTCCCCACGGCCTCTGTGCATCCGACTGCAGGAGGCCACCTCAGCTCTCTCGTGTCCGTAGGTAAGAGCCCGCCAGCTCGCCGTCACCGCGTCCACGTACGTTACCGCATTTGAGCTACAAGTAGAAACACTGGGAACGGGCTGATGGCTCCCACTGTAGGCGTGGGGGACGTGCGGCCTCCCCAGAGTGGAGATGGGGGAGCTCTGATTCACAGGATCTGCTGTAACTCTTCCCCTCAGAAAGGACTTGACGGGGGCACCTGGGGGCTCAAGTCGTGATCCCAGGGTCTTGATCTCGGGGTCACGGATGACCTGGGGCACCCCGCTTCCCAGTCTTGCGCGTCCTCTGAATCCGGGGCCACCGAGCCGTCGTGTGTGCGTGGCTGGCTCTGGAACCCTCGGGTCTGTCCGTCCGTCCTTTGGACCCCGTGAAGCCCGTGTGTTGCTCTTGTCCTGTGACGTCTGTGGTTCTCCTGGTCGTAATGACCGAGCAGGACAGCCCCGGCCATCTCCCTGAGACGTGACGGCATGTGCTTGCGTCCATGCAGATGGCGGCTCTGGAGTCGCAGGCTACCTGCTGAGGCTGCTGTCCTACCTCCCGGGGACGCCTGTGGCCGAGATCCCCAGCAGCCCCCAGCTGCTGTACGAGGTCGGGAGGCTCGCCGGCAGACTGGATGAGACCCTGCAGGTAGGACGTGGGGCTTTGCTCTCTTCTGGGACCTGTGTATTTGTTGAGTTGTGGTCTGTTTCAGTTAACAAACCCGGGGCCGGACTCCCCTTCTCCTCCCGGTGCCTCCTGTGGGCTGTTAGGAAGGGACTAGGGCCGCTGCTATGGGCATTTCTTGACTGCGAGGCCTCTTTCCGCCCAGCCCTGCGCCTCGCGGGAGTGTGGGCAGGATTGCCTGCGTTTCCAGGCGGTCCCTACGCTCTTGGTGCTGCTCCCGGAAGACCGTCTGCATTTGCAGAGTGAGCCCCACACTGTCCGGCCAGCGAGCGAGCCACGGCGGGAGCCGGAGGCCTGGGTGGACGTGTGTCCACGTGGTGGTGGAGACGGTACTGCGGACGACGAGTGTGCCCTGCAGCCGCCCACAGCATGTGTGTACGTGCCCCTTGGCCGTGCCCAGCTCCGGGAGAAGAGGACGGGCTCCCCGTCCCAGAGGAATGTGCTGGGGCGGGGCGACACGCACGCTAAGAGGTGGTCTGCGCCATGTGGTCTGCATGAGGAAAACACCTCCAGGACCCCGCTGCGTCCTGCTCATGCCACAGGCCACGCGCCTCTGTGGCCGCGCCACCCCCGCTGCTGCCGTGACTGTTCTCGCTCACCACAGTCGCCTCCCTGTGGTCAGGCTCCTTCCCCAATTTACTCTTTGTGCCGATTCAGAGTTACTTTCTACAGTTACAAATCCAACCACAGACCCTGTCAGTGGCTTCTCGCTACTTCGACGTGGAGGCCAAGGTCCCCGTGTGAGGCCCCGCGTGCCCTGTCCTGCCTGAGTCCCCACAGGGCCTCCGTCCGTCCGTCCTTCCTTCTCCCCATCACTCTTGTGGATCCCCGACGGGCCACTCTGTCTCACATGTCTTCGCGTGTGTCTTCGCACGTGCCACTTTCTGAGCTACCGGCCCCTTTCCCCGTGCAGCCAGACTCCCACGCAGCCTTCAGCACGTGGCTTGGGCGTCGCCCTCTGGGAAATGCCCCCTGGACCCCTCCCTTCCGTGCTGCGCATAAACGATCCCTCCCTCCTCTTGCGACTTCTGAACTCGGACCTCCTGTTGCTGGCCTCGCCGAGCAGCGTCCCGGCTACCTATGCCACGTAACAGACCATCCCCAAACTGAGCCTTCAGACGTGGATTTATTTCTCGTGTCTCTGTGGGTCGTGGTGTGGATGGGGCCACGCGTGCAGCCGCACTCGGTGGGGTGCTCGGCCGGGGGCGCTGTGGTTCTCCCCCACGGGGGCTCTCGTCCCCCAGGATGGCCCCGCATCCTCACCATGAGGCAGCTGGTTGCCGAGAGAACAAGACGGGGACAAAAGTGGAGACAGACGCTGGTCAGATTATGAGATACATTGTCGTATACGACATGAAAGGGTTTAGGGAACTTGGAGGGTTTTTATTTTTATTTCCCGGGTGGTTTTTAGTTTAAATTAATTTAATTAAGGCATGGCGTATTATTGGCTTCAGAAGTAGAGGTCAGGGATTCATCAGTCGCATGTGACAGCCGTGCTCGTCACCTCACGTGCCCTTGCCTGGAGGGTCTTCAAACGGGCACAGATCGCGACGCTGCGGCACTCCGTGGACCAGTGCGGCGGACAGGCTGGCAGAGAGCCGGCGTGGGCAGAGCGCGTCTAGGAAGCGAAGGAATCATCAGAGAGAAGCTGACTGAGGGCCGGAACCCATGAAAGCTTCAAGATACATGTTGGAGACGGAGCCAGCAGGATTTGGTGATTGATTTAATGTTCCGGGATGGGACACGGAGGGGCTGAGGAAGACGTGGGCTCTAACATGTGTGCTGGGACCCGGCGCCGTGCACAGGATGGCAGTCACCCCCGATGTCGGTCACAGGGGAGCCCCGTGCCGCGGGGGAAGCTCGCCAGCCTCCGTGGACCTCACACCGTGCCCCCTCGTGGCGCCCGGGGTCAGCCCGTCCACGGTGTCCTTCCCTGTGGCTGCTGCTTTAGAAGAGTCACCAGAGCCTTAGCGGGAGCTCAGTGAGAGAAGGGCCGGGGCACCCCAGCTGGGAGACGGAGGAGGTTCCTATGCCCCCTGTCCCAGAGCCCCTGGGGCCGAGCAGGAGACTTCCTGTGTGCCTTCTGTCCCCGTGTGCCACGCAGGCGCATCTGGTAGGCCGAGGAGGTGAGGTCTTGCTGGTTTTCTCCTCTGACAGTCTGTGTCCCTCCTCTGGGATGTTTGCATTTAACCTAGTCATGCCGTGGCCCCCGACCTCTGGCTCAGATACCCAGGAGCCGGAGCTGTGACACTCACGTTCGGCAAACCTGTACCGGGTGCCCGTTAGGTGTGACGTCTTTATTCATTTTATTCTTTCCGGTCTTCATTCGTCAAACAACCGCGTGGCTGGTGTTGACACTCAGGTTTTACTGCAAAGGAAACATCTGCAATATTAAGCAGAAGAGCCTGTTGAGACCCTGCCGTGTCGGACCTTGGGGCCGGGTCCTGTCCCGTACCTCCTGCTGGAGCCCGGGCCCTCTCCCATGGGGTGTGTGGCTGGCAGTGCCCTGTTTTAGGAGCCGGCCCAGAGCCCTCCCCGGGTGGACCATGGCTCCGTCTATTGTGCTCTTTACAACGGAAAGGAAGAAGAATGCCCGGTAAACTTTCCAGTGGTTCCGAACAGGGTCAGCGTTCTTTCTCTCCCGTACCTTGTCCATTCGTACCTGCAGTCCTGTCCCCCAGGGACACAGCTTCTAGCAGCGTTGTCATGCCGAACATTCCTGTGACCTGGGGTGGCCCTTGGCATGTCATGCTATCAGGAGGGTCAGACCGTGTCCCGTGAGGATGACTGGGCACTGGCAAGCTTGACTCTGTCAGGAGGACACTCTGGGGGACAGGACCGCCATCTGGGACTGTGTGGTGGCCGGTCAGGTGGGAGGCGGCCCCGACGTCATCACTGGAACCAGGGCCTGGGACACGGTACAGAGACAGCTCGGCTCAGCGACAGGAAGACCGCAGAGCCGGTCAGGCATGAAAAGTCGCCCCCATGAGAGGTGCTCTGACCGAGGCTACTTAGCAAGTCCGTGGTGGTGACAGTGGAGCCTGGGGGGTCCAAACTCCAGGCCTCGAGAGTGGATGGCAAAATCCACTAAGAGGAATGTTTTTAAAGAAGTAGAATAAAATCCAAAACCCAGCATACGTCCCACGGGCTGGTCCACATGCTGCCGACAGAGGCTTGTCTCCTGGTCTGTCCTGCGACACGGCTGTCTCGCTTGAGAAGTCTCGCCCCACGGACGGAAGGGCCCTCAGTGCCCCTCAGCCCGCGAGTAGTGACTTCCCTCGTTATCCTGGACTCAGTTTCCCCTTCTGTGTCGTGATGGGCAGAGCTGTTTCAAACTCCATATAGAGTGGCCCAAGGCTAAAGGCCTTGGCAATTCTAGAATTTTCTATCCCGGGAACATTCATTTATTCGGCAACTGTCGCTGGAGCAGCGTGTTCTGTGAGCCGGGCACCGTGGTAGGTGCGGGAATGTGGAGCAAGCCGACGGAGCAACCCAGGGCGTGGCCCGCGCAGGAGCTCCTGTTCCTGTGAGGCTGGAGAGTAAGGCCAGAGGGTGAGCTCCGGAGAGCGGTAGCCGTGCGTGCTGCGGGCTCACGGGGAAGAGATCAGCGCGGGGAGGGGCAGGAAGGGCCGGAGGGGGCTGATGTTTCGGGTGCGGTGGCCGGGGGCCTCCCACAGAAGGAGCTGGTGGACGTTCACGGCCTGGCTGTGTGTCCAGGGGAGCCGCGAATGCAGAGGCCATGGGGTGGAGGTGTGCGGGCGCGGTCCTGCCCCCCGGGAGGCCGCTGTGGCTGCAGGAGAGTCTGCGAACATAGTAGAAGGTGAGGTCAGACAGGTCACGGGGGGGCTGGCCGTCGGGGTCAGCAGACTTCTTTCTCCCTGCCTCCAGCTCCCGCTGGGGGCTCCAGGAAGTCCCCCTCAGCTACGAGCGAGATGGGGACGTGCCCTCAGAACGACGACTCCTGGTCAGGTGTGCCCGTGTGGGGGGGGTTAACGGAGCGTGTCGGTGAGCGCGGGGGCGCCGCGGGCCCCTCGGACCGAGCCTGAGAGGGCGGTCTCTCGCCCACCCAGCTGTCCCTCGTGGCCGCTCTACCTGTCCAGACTCTCAGGGCTCCTTGTCTTCGGTTTAGAAATTCCATCACCCAAAGTTAAGTCATCTTCGTCGGGAGAACTTCATTTGGAATCTGAAAAACGTCCCTCTTCTGGAGAAGTACCTGGATGCCTTGGGCCAGAGCCAAAACCGGGAGATTGTCATACAGGTCATCCAGCTGTTCAAGGACGAAATCCTGACCAAACTACGTCACTTCCGAGAGTGTGAGTACCCCCGATAGGGGAAGTATTTTCCTTGCTGTTTACACTGGCACATTTAGAGCATCAGAAGAGCGTGGACATACGACTCGGTTTCACCAAGTCTCAAAATGGGGCCGAGCTTGCTCCTCGTGCTTTAAAGAATGGTACTTCTACTTCCCTTAAAATTGCCACATTTGAGATCCTCTCCAGACCTGACGTGATCGCACCTTCCCCTCCCTACTGAATTCGCACTCACTACATACGTGTTCATAAATGAGGTGCCATGACGTTCTGCATGTTTTCCACTGTTAGATGGGATCAGATGGTCTTACTGTTCTGCAACCTACTTTTCTCGGTCCAGATTAATCATTTCATATGGGTTCTAGCTCATTTCGCCCATTGTTGCACTAAGTAGTATCCCATACTACTCAGGTATGCGCCACCATTTATTTCAATGTACTGTGCTATTTTCAGTCTCTTCTCTTGTCGATAGAATTTTAGGTTGTTTTTTCTTTGTTGTTGTTGTTCTGTTGTGGGGTTCCGGTGAGCACACTAGTGTGTACCTCCTTATGGATGTGGGCGACAGTTTCTCCAGGTGGAAGCAGCCTTTGACGGGGCACGAAGCACAGGTCAGAGGACCAGGCAGGAAGGGCGCTTACAGCAAGCCTGATGAAGGCAGTAGCCTCCCTCCTGCCTCTGCTTTCAGTAGGGCCCAGCTCTGGCTGCCGTCACAAAGTATGGAGATGAGGTGGGGGGCTTCCCATGGTTCTGGAGGCTGGAAATGCGAGGTCCAGATGCCAGCGTGTTCTGTTTCTTTCCCAGGCCCCAGCCACCTTCTCTCCGCATCCACACGTGGTGGACAGAGAGCGCTGCGCTCTCCCGTCGGTGTCTCTTCTTAGAAGGGCACTAATCCCACCACGAGGGCCCCACCCTCATGGTGCATCTAAACCCCATTACCGCCCAAAGACCCCCAGCTCCAAACACCACCACGCTGGTCGGCGGGCTTCAACATGTCGGCCGTGGGGAGCCATCACAACTCCATCTGTAGTGTTTACTTCGTGTAAACGTAATGCAAGGCGGTAGCATAAAAATAGAGTTGACTTCCCCCATCAGATCTGCACCCCCTGCTCATCTTCACCTCATGAAAATGGTATCTGCCATTCACCTCGCTGATCTCACCGAAAACCTGGGAGTTGGCAGCCTTGACTGTTCTCTGTCACATGCTTCACACGCGCTCGAATTCTCCTGGTTCCAGTTTCACTTTCCCGCCTTTACTGCTCCGCCGGTCCTCGCTACCCTCACTTCTCGTCTGCATTACGGGGTGCGCGGCCCCGCATGTGCTGAGGTAGGACTGCTGGGCCATAGGACAGGTCTACGTGCCGCGTGACAAGACGCTGGCACACGGCTTTCCGGAGAGCCTGCGTGCCTGTGCACTGCTGTCAGCAGAGGCTGCGCATGTCCGCTGCTCCCCACCTGTGGTGTCCTCACAGTCTGACCCCCTCCAGTCCCGTAGGAAACAGCGATTCCTTCGGTTTTGCTCTGCCGCTCCCCATGTATTGGCCGTTTGGATAAACTCTTTCGTGAAGTACCTCGTCAAGTCTTTGGTCAGTCTTCCAGCTGGGATTTCCTTCTCAGTGATTTTAGAGGTTCCAGATAGTTCCTGGACACAGCTCCTTCGCTGGTTATATGTGTTGCAAATATTTTGTTCCATTCTGCCTTTTCACTCTTTTTATGATGTGTTTTGATCAACGGTCCTGAATTTCTTGGTTTCAAGTGTATCTGTCTTCTGCTCCTTGGTTAGTGTTTTGTGCCTTGGGTCGACATTTTCCCCTACCTTGTGGTCCCGAAGATATTCTCCTGCATTATCTTACTAAAGCGTTACAGTTTTTCCCTTTCATTACACGTCTATAAACTGTCTGAAATTTACGTATGGTGTAAATTTTTCTTGTGGTTGGTAACTTTTTCACCAGCATTTATTAAAAACCCATCTTTTCTCGCTTGGCTTTGCAGTACCATCTCCACTATAAACCAAATGCCTGGGGCTCTCAGTGTTGTCCCCCTGTTACCCTTGCCCATCTCTGCTCCTGCACCACACTGTGTGTCAGCTTGGCAAGGTTATGCTGCAGCGACAAGTGGCCCGTAAGGTACTGTGCACTGCGGTAGCAGAGCTACTTCTGACTCCAGCGGCCTGTCCCGCGTGGACTGTCTTGGATTCTGCTCTGTGGACTCTCACGCTGGGACCGAGATGCGTGGGACGGATCTCGTGTAGCCGGGGAAGGGGAAGCTGGACACGGTACGCGTCCTTGCATCTCTGCCCTGAAGTGATGTCACTTCTGTTCAGTTCGAAGGGCCAGAAAGCCCCCTGGCCATACACAACTTCTTGAGGAGCAGAGAAGTACAGCCCAGCATGTTCCTGGAGGGAATGTAGCTGGACTATTTGTGGGCGTTTCTAAAGATTACCACACTATCTTAATTTTTTTAATTTTTAAGGTCTTGTAGCAGGTAGAACATGGCCTCCCACCTTCTTGTTCTCTTGTAAGAGGGTCTTGACTATTTTGGGTTCTTTTTACTTTAAGTATGTATCAATTTTGGAGTCAGTGTGTCATATTTTTACAAATTTTTGTTAAGATTTTGGTTAGGTTTGGATGGAATCTCTATATAAATTTGGAGGAAAGAGGTAGGATAGCTTATTTACACTTATGTTACACTTAGAAGATGGAGGAATCTAATCATGGACATTGGCCCGTCTCTGCACTCACAGAGATCTGTAGAAGATGGTTCTTAGTTACCCTTCTGGTGTGGATTTCTCCTGTAGCTGCACTGTGGGCGGGGAGCACGGGTCCCGTCGGCGCTGCCCAGGAGAGCTTCTTCACTGGTGGAAGTGCTCTGTGTCTGTGTGGTCCGTTGCAGTAGCTTCTAGCCACCATGGAGCACCTGCAGTGGGACTCGTGCCACTAAGGAACCAGAGCCTCATTTTATTTAATCTGAATGATTGTGAATGACATCACATGGCCGACGACTACCATATGGGACAGAGCAGCTTTACGTGACTTCAGGACTCCCAAATTTGTTAAGATTTATTCGATGAAGCAGCATTTGGTAAATTTAAAAAATGGTCCATGTGTGCTGAAAAAGAAAGTGTGTTCTGTGGTTGTTGGGTACAGTTATGTATATGTTAGTCGGTCAAGCTCGTCGCCCTGTTGTCTAAATTCTCTACTGATATTTTTGTCTGTGTGTTCTAACAATTATTAACAAGTGTATTTTAAGTCTCTTGCTGTGATTGTGGATTTCCTGTACTTTTTGTGTATCTCTGTCAAAATGTGCTTTGTATATTTTCAGGCAACGTGCACATAAAATTAGGATTCTTACCTTACTAGCGAACTGAAGCTTTCGTCCATACAGTTTCTCTCTTTACTATTTGTTTCCTTTGCCTCAGTGTCCACTCCCTGGGATACCGTACAGTTGTGCAATCCTGTCCTGTACTCTCGCCTCTGTCTGTCTGTTCCAGTTCTTTCTTTTCTTCTACTCCTCTTCTTTTGATGTCATCGTTTTTGAGGTCATTCTTTTCGTGACTGTATTTCTTTCTGTCCAGAAATTTGGGAGCTGTATGCTGTCATATGTGACCCCGACTTATCAAAGTGTAATGTGATCCCAGACAACATAGGGACCTAAAGATACCTTGAGTGCATTTATGTCTGCCCTGGCTTATAAGCCACTGATTTGGTAAATGTGGTGAACTTCAGATCCCTACTTGGGGCCTCCAGAAGACAACGCTACTGTTGTTTCATAGTCAGGTTTGTTTACATTTACTTGTGTGTTGGTTTCCTCTCCTCCAGCCTCAAGCTTCCTGCCTGGCCTCATTTTGTTCCCGCCTAGAACATATTCCCTAGCATGTTCTCCAGTCCGGTTCTCTAACGGTGAACTCTCTGATGTCATCTGTCTGAAAATGCTTTTGTTTTCTCTTCATCCTTGAAGGATATTTTCACAGCCTATAGGACTCTAGGTTTTGGGCTTTTGGGATTTTAGGTTCCACTCTCTCCTAGCTTCTCCATTCCTGCTGAGAGGTCAGCTGTCGGTCTGCAGCCTTTGAAGACCACCTGCCTTTTTCCCTTTGGGGTTCTTGTAGGATGTTCTCTTTTTCTTAAATGATTTTTTTTCTTAATATGCTTGGGTTTCTCAAACCTGTATGTGGATATTGTCTTTCATCAGTTGTGGGAGCTTCTTGCCCAGCCCCATTTTCTTTCCTCCTTTTGGGCTCCCATTAAGTTCATGTTCAGTCTTCTCACTGAGTATCCTCTGTGTCCCTTCTCGTGTGTGTGTGTGTGTGTGTGTGTGTGTGTGTGTGTGTTTTGTATTTTTCTGTGCCATGCTGCATTTTAGATATTTCTCTACCATGTCCTCTAGTTTATTGATTCTTTCTTAAGTTATGTCTTGTCTGTTATAGCCACCCACTGCATTCTTCTCTCATTATGTTTTCCAGTTTTAGAAGTTCTTTTTTTTTTAAGATTTTTATTCTTTATTTGACAGACAGAGATCACAAATAGGCAGAGAGAGAGGGGTGGGGGGAAGCAGGCTCCATGCTGAGCAGAGAGCCCAATGTGGGGCTTGATCCCAGGACCCCGAGATCATGACCTGAGCTGAAGGCAGAGGCTTTAACCCACTGAGCCACTCAGGCACCCCTAGAAGTTCTTTTTTAATTAAAAATTGTTTTACATTATTTTTTGTTCCCATATAGTTACCATACAGTGTCACATTAGTTCAGCTGTACAATACAGTGATCCACCATTTCCACATATGACTCAGCGCTCATCACCGTAAGTGCACTCGTCAGCCCCTGTCACCTGCCTCCTAGAAGTTCTTCTGGTTATTTTTCTAGAGTCACTACCTTGTGTCCAGAGAACATACTATATATCAGCACGCAAGGAAATCAGGCACCATGAGCAATAGCCAAAAGAAGCTCATTTGAGGGGCCTCCAGCCGGCTGAGTCCATAGAACACGCGACTCTTGATCTCAGGGTGGTGAGTTCAAGCCCCATGTTGGGTGTAGAGAGGACTTAAAAAACAAAAAATCTTAAAAAAAGAAACTAACTCAAAACTAAACCGAAGACTGTGGTACCAGAATGACTGCTCTGTTCTCCTGCCTCTCTGGACCCGGCCATGTGAGTAGTGGGGTGCGAGCAGACTTGTCATCCTTTCGTGAGTTCGTCATGTCATGTCAGGGCCTTTCACGTCCTGTGGTGAGCCTTCTCCTGCACCCAGCAGGCAGCACGTCCACTTCCTGTCCCCCTAAGGGGTAAAGCACATTGCCGACCTGGAACACCGTCCACGGACCTGAGGCTGCGTTCCTGCTCACTGCATTTCTGTTCTGTGTTTTAGAATATAAGTTGATCTTGTTCCTGAGGTTGGCTCTATCTTTATTTTCTTTTCTTATTTTCGTCATTACTATGTATATTACACACAGGAGGCTTATCAGAGAACGAACTCACTCTGCCATCCTGATCAGAATGCCTTCTCTTTCTTTAATTCTCAAATTCAACAACTTTTGTCATTTTCTCCCCAGGCATTGAATAGCTCTATCATTTTTTGATAGGCCAGTGGACAAGGGATAGAAGCAATAAAATGCTTGCGTAAGTACAGATTGCATGCTCGAAGTAACATAACTCAGTGGTTCTAAAATCCCATTTGATTGCATAAGATGCACCGTTCCTTCACCTCTGAGGAGGAAGAAACCTTGCCAATGAGAGTGTGACACAGCATCCGTTGTATCATGCGTCCCAGTTTCACAGATGTGTAGTTTAGAATCTGTGGTTTCCAAAAATGTTCATTGTTTCTGCATGTCACCCACTGGGCCAAATTACTTAAGCATGAGTTATGTGATCCCAAGTCACCTAGAAGAAATCAGCATCGTACTCAGGAGTGGATGTTACTTTCTATCACACACTTACCGGAAAGTACGTGACTCACTGCTTCATGCTCCTGGACGTCCCTGTGTCTCCCTAATCCTTAGCCAGGGTTTTAAATCAGAATTTCTCAGACTGTTCCTGAGAAAAAACAAGTGTGGTTTTTCCCCAGCGCCTGTTGCGTGGTCCTGCTGTTCATGACTGGATCACATCCTGCACCACACACGACCTACCGTGGGAGTCCGGTAACACCAAGCTGGTCTGTACTCTTAATGACATGCACGATCACACTCTTAGATGACAAATTGCTGTAAACACTCTCAGTCTTTTCTAAACATGCTCAATGTCTGTTTTTATCTCATACATGCTAGTAAGAGTTTGTGGACCATCAGTGACCACAGACCCCCACTTCGAGTGGTACTGACTTGAGATCAGTGTCTAATCTAGTAATCAAAGGACTGGGAGAACTCACAATTATTTGTCATCAGACTTCTTTTTTTTAGAAATCCTAGGTTAAAATAAAGACACATCTGGCCCATTCTAGGACTCTTGGCTTTTTCTTATTTTTTTTTCCTTTTAAAAAAATTTATTTTTTATTTTAAGCCCTCTCTACATCCAACACGGGGCTTGAATTCACAACCCCAAGATCAAGAGTTGTACACTCCACTGACGAGTCAGCCAGTCTCCGTTAGGACCCTTTGTTTCGTGCGATAATGTGAAAATACGTATATTCCTTTTGAACACTCTCCATTCATTCTGCCAGCAGTCAGAACCACGTGTTTGCAGCGGCCAGCCCGCATCCTCTAGCCTCGTACTGATAGAAGCAAAGCAAATACAACCACTAAAATTAACTGCCTTTTTTTCCCTTTCAGAGAAAATTCTTTTATTTCAGGCAAAATAGGGTTTGACTCTACCTCTGGACTGCTCATCACAGCTGAGTGGCGGTGCCCCAGGAACAGGAAACGGGCAGAGAAGGAGCTGGGGAATTTCATGTTTGCCCGTGGCTTGATTTTTCTCCTTGTAGGTGTCAATCATGGAGATCTTAATGACCATAATATTTTAGTGGAGCCCAGCAAGTCAGCCTTTGGCGATGCCGTGTACCACGTGTCTGGCATTCTGGACTTTGGTGACATGAGCTACGGCTACTACGTGTTCGAAGTGGCCATCACCATCATGTACATGATGATTGAGAGCAAGAGTCCGCTGCACGTGGGAGGTCACGTCCTTGCAGGCTTTGAGAGCGTCATCCCGCTGACGCCCGTGGAGAGGAGTGCCTTGTTTCTGCTCGTGTGTGGGCGCTTTTGCCAGTCCCTGGTCATCGCAGCACACTCTTGCCAGCTACACCCAGAGAACAAGGACTATCTCATGATTACTGCGAAAACCGGCTGGAAGCGCTTGCAAGAGATGCTTGACATGGGCCAGAAGGCTGTGGAGGAAATCTGGTTTGAAACTGCCAGGTCCTATGACTCGGGGGTCTCCATGTGACTCAGGGAACCTTCACGTGAGCTCTGATCGTGGAAAACCCAAGGGGACCAAATCAAATTCCATGAAAGTTTTTCCTGCTCGGTGAGAAATGAGCTCACGGAATAGACCAATGCCTATGGAACCACGAAGGCCTTCCAGCAATCTCAGGACCGCTACTTACATGTATGTAAGTGCCCACAGCAGGTGCGTCCCTCTGGGGTCCAGCTTGCCTTGTGGGTAGAACATGCAGAAGGGTGGTTTTGAGTCAGATCATCTCTCAAGGACTATCCAGCCCTGAGCTCAGTGACTGTGCTAAACTTTAAAAGGAACACACGTGTATGGATAGATTCATGTATTTTAAATAATTGGGTGTAACACAGGGACCGGGTTAACATAGCTCCAATTCCGTGAAGCCTCTTCCCATCCCCCCGCTTCGCTGAAACCCCGCTGTGCTCTGTCTTTGTTGTGGCACATCACTTGGTATCGTGGATTATGGCCGTCACGTGGGAGTTCTTGGAGGGCAGAGACTATGTTGAACTATTTTTTGTCTCTTGTCCCTTTTTTAATACAGCGCTTTCCTCGTGGTTTCAAAAGGTATTTGCAAAATGAGCGTATGCTACGAGAAACGTGTGAGAAGGCACAGACGAAGAGGCAGGCAGTATTCGTAAGAAGAAGGGTTCACGTGCTTGAGAGGACAGCAGTTGAACCTGGGCCTGGACGGTACTGGACCTGCCCGGAAGCCAAGGGAGACCTCCGGGCAAGGCTGCCGACTCCTGAGTGAGGGGCCCGAACATCCCTTCGTTTTCAGCTTGAGACTAAGAGGGTCTCTCAGCAGATACTGCAAAATTGCTCTCCTTTGTGGTCCTTTTCATATGAACACGTGATGTCTGCGAACCACAGCTCCCTGCACACTGACATGCGTGATACCACGGTCTCCTTCGCCGATTTCTCTGCATGTCTCCCTTCGTCGTGCAATTCAGTAAATGGCTTTACTTATTCTTGTGGGTTTGTCTGTTCTCCAGGAGATCGCAAGTCTGCAGGCCTGGCCATTCAGGCTCGTCTCTTTCCGTGTATGTGAACAGACATCGCTTCTCCGTCTGTGGGGTGGACTCATGAGACGAAATTCAGTTGTGGTTGGTAGGGTTTATGATGAATAACAAAGACACTCCTCTTACTCTACCATTCAGGGGATTACAAGGGTTTTAGAGCAGAAGGAAACCCAAACCTGTATTTATTGTATCACAGTATTTTACATGGATTGTCTCATTTAATCTCCACAAAAAACCCATGAGGGAAGTAGTGCTGTGATTAATCCCCATTTTCTTACAGAAGAATTTGCTTACAGAGCCAGGGTCCCAGTCCTCCCTTCTCTCACCCACCATGCATGCACGTGTGAGCACATCTGTATTAGAATCAAACGAGATCACTCACGTGAAAGCACTTATGCTTCTGAAATTTAAGGCATTGTATATATTTTTTACAAAGATTTCATCATCATTTTTTAAAAATAACCTCTACCCCCAACGTGAGGCTTGAACTCTCAACCCCAATATCAAAGCGACTGAGCCAGCCAGGCGCCATTTTTTTTTAAATCTAGCTTGACCATTCTGGAAATTGGGGACCAGAAAAAGGAACGGAATCGTGGATTTCACTCCCAGACCATTGTTCATTCTCTTGAACCATGAAACTCTATGGATCTCCTTCTTAATTGCTCCTGCAAACATGGGTTCTCCTTCACCGAGTTCCTAATGCAGATGTTGCTAGCCACGATCTTGATGTTTAAGTACATACGGGCTTGCGTCGATAGTGTACTACTCGGTGTTTGTCCTTGCTTATCTCCAGTCAGTTCCGTGTAGTTTTAAACTCTGGTGGCATAGGGCCGCCTGGCCAGCTCAGTTCGTGGAGCCTGTGACTCTTGATCTTGGGGTCATGAGTTTGAGCCCCACATTGGATGTAGAGATTTAAAAAAAGGAAAAAATAGGTAAACTTAAAAAAACCCCATGTCTTTGATGGCATACATCGAATAGTATTCATTTTCTGTTGTTAGCTCCGTACCGGGCCCCTGGCACACCCTTAATAAACTGCTCGGACGAATGCATTTCCACAAGAGCCGATCTCTGGTCCTTTCATCCAGGGAGGGGAAAACCCAGTTCTAGATTTGGGGATCAATGCCGTATGCACAGCAAAGACTCTGCTCTTGCTTTTTCTGTCCAGGCTCTTATCCCCTCCAGGCTACAGAAGCACCTTACCTTCTGGTATTCTTATCCTTAATCTCTCCAACCTACCTCCATCCTTTTAGAGACAGATTAAAAACTCCAGCTGCATATTGCCGTGTGACAATTTAACCAAAAATTTAGTGGCTTAAGTCTCAGTCATTAGCATCTCATGGATTCTGCAGATAGAAACTCAGGCACCAGGGCAGCTGGTCTCTGCTCCCCAAATGCTTGGGCCTCTGTTGGGAGGTGATCTGGGGATTGGGGGAAATTCAGTGACTGAGGATATCAGCAGCAAACTTCACTCACGTATCTGGCAGGGGATGCTGGGACCTCGTCTAGGCCGGTGGCAGATCACCTCTCCATGTTCGAAGAACGAGCATCCCAAGAGGACAAGACAGCAATCTATCATCTTTTATGACCTACCGCTGGAAGTCACAGCATATGACTTCTGTTGTAGTCACAGGCCCAGGGGACTCAAGGCGAGGGGACACAGGACCTCCAAATGGGAAGCATCCATACCACATTGTAAAAGGAACATATGAGGCCTCATCATCCTAAAGCATCACTTTAATGCTCCCTGTGACCCACAGGGGAAAAAATTCTGGCATTGGAGGCATCTACGAATTGGCCTGATGTCTCTCCTCCTTCCCTTCCTTTGTTGTCTCCTTCATTCCGCTCAGATTCAACTGCTCTGTCCCCCAAACTGATCAAACTCGTTCTCTCTTCTGCTCTTTTGTCTCACCAGATCTTTCTTCCGTCGACCTGACATTCTGCCTCTCACTTGGGCCTGAGAACGCATAGTGACCCACCAGCGTGGGGCCCTGTGCCGTTTTGCCTGGCTCACCTCCTCCTGTGCCCGGGAAGCAGTAGCGACAGCAGAGGCCTCACACACGGCTCATTCCCAGGCTGCCTCCTCTTCAGAGTCCAGTCCCCCAGGAGTAATTTTCCATCCGGTCTGAAGAGCCCGGAGCCCCTGCCCTCTGGGCCTCTCCTTGGAGGGGACTATAAGCCCGTGACACCGTCTTAACCCTGATCTGGCCAACCGTGCGATCCAGGGCAACTTAAAGCACGAACAGTAGGTGGTGGACCAGAGGACGGGAGCCGCTGGGAGCAGGGCAGAGGGGCGGGCACCGAACAGACACCAGACGGGGTCAGCCGAGTGCTGTGCGCGCTGCTGGTCGGTATGGCCCTAACTCGGGCGGGCCGAGCGGGGAAGAGGCTGAGACCAGGCGTGGGCCCCGCCGGGGGTGCGTGGGCCCCGCCGGGGGTGCGTGGGCCCGTCCCGGCCTGCTCCGTGTGCCCGCAGTGAGAGCGGAGGGCAGAGACCCTCAGGCGGGACGCAGCGCATCTGACGAGCTCGGGACCGGCCCCGGGGAGCAGCGCACGGGCGCGCACGGCCGCCGGCTGGACGCCCCACGCGACCAGCACGCGGAGTGTCGGGGAAGCGGCCGAGGAAGGGCCCGGGGCCAGCACGGGTCACAGGGTCCGCGCGGAGGACGGCCCCACCCGCAGCACAGCGTCCTCGCCCAGGGCCCTTCCGACCCGAAGGTGCGTGGCCACTGGGGGGCGCGGGGCGCGGGGAGGGGGTTGGCTCCCGGCGCCGCCCGGGCACACAACCCAGGCCTTCGCAGAACCGAGCGGAAGGAGAAGCCAGAGTCCCCGGCGCTCCTGCTGTAGCCGTCAGTTCCGGCCCCGCCCCCGGACTTCCGGGCCAGCGGCGGCCCCGCCCCCGTGCTCTGCGCACGCGCGGGCGCCATATTGACAGCGACTGCTCGACAGTGGTGGAGGCGGCCGGTGTTCTTCCTCGTGAAGAGTCTCGGTGGACGTCTCCACTCTTCCGTGTTCCGCTGGTGAGCTTTTGCCCCTGGGCACCCGCGGAAGGGTGGCCGCCCTCTCCGCGGCCGGGGCTCGTGAACGTCGCGGCAGAGCCGTCTCGGCCTGCGGCCGCCACCGAGGCGCCCAGGGTGCCATGACTCTGCACCCGCTTCCTCGGCGACAGGCCGGCCATCGTGGGGCTTGCCTGCGGGGCGCGCGTCTGGGTCGGGGCCGGGGCCGGTGTCCGAGCTGGGATCTAGCGCTCTCGTCGGGGCCGGTACTGGGGTCCCAGCTTGGATCTAGCGCGCTCCTTGGGGCCGCGTCCATGTCCAAGCTTGAGTCTGTCGCTCACGTCCGGGCCGGGGTCCAAGCTTGGAGCTAGTGCGCACGTCGGGGCCGGGTGTGGGGTTCCCAGCTTGGATCTAGAGCGCACGTCGGGGCCGGGCCGGGTCGGGGGCCGGGGCCGGGGTTCGAGCTGGGATCTAGCGCGCGGGTCGGCGCCGGGGTGCAAGCTTGGACCTAGTGCGCACGTCGGGGCGGTGCTGGGGGCCCAGCTGGGTGGGACCTAGAGCGCACGTCGGGACCGGGCCGGGGCTCGAGCTGGGATGTAGCGCGGACGTCGGAGCGGGGGTGCAAGCTTGGACTTAGTGCTCACGTCAGGGCGGGGCTGGGGTCCCAGCTTGGATCTAGAGCGCATGTCGGGGCCGGGCGGGGGCCGGGGCCCGTTCGAGCTGGGATTTAGCGCGCGGTCCGGCCTGGGTCCAGGCTTGGACTTAGTGTGCACATCGGGGCAGGGCTGGGGTCGGAGCTTGGATCAGGCGCTGCGATGGTCGGGGCGGAGGCTGGGGTCTGAGCTGGGATCTAGTGCTCCCGTCCCAGTTGGGGATTGGGCTCCGCGTCCGGCGAGCTCTGCCGAGTCGGGACTGGGGTGGGGGTTTGGTGCGCACTCTGGGGCTGGGGCCAGGGTGGGGGTTGCACAGGTGGGATGGGGGCGTCACTTGGGAGGGTGGGTACCCGAAAGTTGCCCTGCTGGAACTGCACCGGAGGTGCACAGCGGGGCTTGTGCTCAGGGCTGTCCTTCCCTT